CAAAGTGGACTTTTTCCAGTATTATAATTTACATAGTTTCCTATTGAACTTCTTTCGTTCAAAAAAATATCTTAAATCACGCTTTAAATTTTTTTTATCTACTTTCTGAATGGATCAAGGTTCCGCGAAGAAACAATAGATTTGTTGTTCTTTTTTTTTTCGAAAAAAAGGGGGGAAAAGACATGTTTTTAAAAAAACAAATTTAAAAAAACTTTTTGGAAACGGCTAAAAACAAAAACCAAGAAGTTTTGACAAGGTTTTTGGATTTTTTTTTAAGGGAATTACATTAAAAATAGGATTTTACATAGTTTTTCTTTATTTTTTTTATCTTTTTGCATGTATTTTATTTATTTGATCTGTTTTGTTATTATTTTTTATGTAATCGAAACTTATCAATTTTTAGATGTCAAGGAGCATATGTGCTACATATATATTTTATGCTCTAAAAGAATATTTGCTGTTTATATTTTTTCTCATAAATTATTGTTTAGATATAAAAATTGTGTTGTAATGCTTATATTTAATTATATTTTTACAATTTCTTTTGTTAATATTTTTTGTATTATTATCAATATTATTTAACTCTATACATATAGACATCGTCGAATAAGTCATTTCATTTGTTTTATCCACACCTCTGATATATAAAAACACGACATAATCATATTCTCGAGAATTTTGAAAAAAAATAATCATAATGTAACTGGCCTCACATAAAAAGTTAAATATAGATGTGAAATAAATCTTTAATTCTAATAAAAAAAACATCGATTTTTGAAAACATAAAAAATTATCACTGGGGCTTAAATTTCTTTCCCTTAAATTTGTGAAAAAAATATTTTCGATGTTTTTTGGGCGTAGGAAGGTTGTTTAAACTTAGGAATTAAAAATTTAAATGGATATTTTAAAAAGAAAAATTTAAAAATTAAACAAAAAAACCCCATAATGTAATTGTCAATTTGTCACGGGGAAAAATTTTTGGTTAACCTTTGGCTTTTTTTAAAATTTTTTTGTCCGGGAAAGCAGTGAAAACGCGATTTTGCTTTTTTTAAAAACAACCTCAAAATTTTGTCTAACCGAATGGTTTCCCCAAAAAAAAAGAAAAAACCAAAAATTTTTCCGCCTCAGTTATAAAAAACCCGGACAAAAACGACAAAGTCTTTTTTTTGGACATTACCATCCCTTTTAGATATGTGCCCAAACAAAATAAGAAATAAAAATTAAATCTAAAGTAATCAATTTCTTGAATGCAGATACATAAAAAACTAAAATATATTAGGGGAAGTACGATGAAACAGTAGCGTAACATGACTAAGTTAAAATTCGGGCGAGATGGTGGAACCAAGAAGCTAAGAGTGGTTTCATTTGGACCTATTTTCCGCCTAAAATGCCCAAAAGCGCACTTAACGTTTTAATCATAATCGCTTCTCATCATTACTTTCAAGTACATTGATTTTATAAGTGCGTCAAGTTCTGACTGATCCGTAACAATTTCATACATGATGTATACAGTTATTCGACACATGCAATTGTTGTTTCTTTTATTCATATATTACTATTGTTGTTTCTTTTATTCATATATTACTATTGTTGTTTCTTTTATTCATATATTTTTTAGCTTCATATGCTGCTTTTTTTCTTTTTATTTTTTCTTATTCTTAACATAAACTTTGGCTCGTCGCAAGTTCATTGGATTGACTTTTTATTTATGAATTGAAAGATAAAGGCAAATGTTTTCTGCATTATTTTATTTTTAAATACTACATGTGTGTATTTTATTTCGAATAAATAGAAAAAAACATCTTCTGTGAATTTGTGTTGGTTCATAAACTAAATTATTCTAACTTATAATTGCGCTTTTACATGTCCTGGAATCATGAGATCTTACACATACTACATAGTAAACTATAGATCTTTTCCTTTTTTTAGATTATAGTACAACACCATTCAACCTTTTTGTGACTATGGAGCGAGCGTCCCTATGCGAAAAAATATTGCATCAAAGATAATAAAGTATTAGAATGAATATAAGACTTATAATTAATAATAAAGATATCTACCAATATAGGCACTATATAGAATATCCGTTCTAAAATCGACCAAATCTATATTAATAATGTTTGATTCTTCTATTTGTCTTGTTTTATGTTTAGTTTCAATTATATTCGTAAATGTTTATATTATTCACGTGTACAATTATCAAAACAAGTTTCTGGACTAGCAGGTTTTACATGTATAACCTTACTGTCAGATTTAGAAGAACCGTCAAAACGCCAAAATCTTTTCACTATACTAGATTATCGCCCTCTAGTGTCTTCAGAAGTACCATGTTCATTGAACATGTGTCCCACTGTATCTGTTTTAACTGGCAATACTCGCGCCAAGACACCGTTTGTTTCAGTAGCGATATGATTTATTGTTTCCACGGCAACTCTAATATGTTTAAGTTTGTGGTGTTGATTCTTCTGTTTTATTCATATCTCTTGTTTCTTTTCAGTTTTAGACTTTCCAGGTCCCCCTTCACTGTTCTTTTAAACCTTTGTTACAAATTTTTAAGACCTTTGAATCTTTCTAAAATTCAAATTTGTTTTTCTAAAAATTTTCTATTTTTTTCTTTTCCCTTTATCACTATTCCCATTTTCTTCAACGTTGACGAAAATTTCACTTGTGCCACCAGGTTTTTAGGTCTTCAAAACCTTTTGTCGGGGGTTCATCAATGTTTTTTCCTACAACCCGCGTTTTTCCCTTGTGAATCTTTGATTAAAAGTTTGTTCGCTGTCCATTTTGAATTTTTGAAACTTTTAAATGTGCATCTGAAATGAAAAAAAGTACTGATTTAAAAAAGCCCCTGATTGACTGAAAAGGGTAACATTTTATAAGAGGATAGTTAATTTTAAAGTACAATTTTTTTTTGGAAAATTTTTCAGGTTTAGGAATTTTATTATTATAAGTTTTTGGGTTATAGCGGGGGTTTGAAAGGAAAGTTCAAGACACATTTTCAAACCCGTTTAAACAACCATACTAACTTGAGTGTAAAAATTTTTTGCTGAAGAAACAAAAACTTGAACTTGACGGGGTTTTTGAACCAAACCGGAAAAAAAGATCCATGTTACTAGCCCCCACAATGTATGAAGGTTTTTTGATTGGACACCTTTCGAAAGTGTACTTTTGTTGTAACCCCTGATATATACAATTTAATTTTATTCTTAAAAACTCTCCCGGGTTGATTTGCGACGTTTGTATCAGAATATACTCATTCAGCAAATCAAGGTGTTTTTTAAAATTAAAAAGCAAAAAGTACAGTAAAAAAAAAATTTCTTTGATTCAGACAAATTTTCTTTGCATACAGACAGGTTATCTCCCTTTTCACTCTTTTCCCGTTTACACCCAGTCTCCCCGTTAAGCCAAGTCTTGTGCTTTAAATGGTTTTTAGATTGATGAAATTTTGCCGTTCCGAATGAAGTTGTAAATTCATACGCTTCTTTAAAAGGTTATAAATGAAATTATTGGTTTTCGTAATTTCTTTCGGAAATATGATTTCTATGTTATATGCAAGAAAAAGAACCAAGCACCGGCTGTCGTATCAGCCAGGAATTTCTAGCAATCGGATAACTTGCTGCTTAGCGGAAACTCGGCAAAGCCTCAGGTTGTTTTTTTAATGACGAGACTGGTAATATCTTGTCCATAATATGTGTACTATTTTACGTAAGTCTGAAGCAATAACTTGTTTGCAAATTTTCAGGTCATTCCCACATCCCGTGTTTGTTTTTGGGATAATCACTTTTATTGTGCAAAATTACATATAATTAAATGAAAAGCGTTGCAACGCTTTTCACTCAAACTGGGCCATGAATTGCACTAACTACCGATTTACATTTTAATAATTATGAATATATTTGTTTTATAACACTGCAAACTTTCACATTTCAAGTGCCTCAGATTATCTATGTAGAAATTTCAATATTAATTTTTTTAGGATTTTTGATCCCAGTCCTTTACCTGCTGTTTTGGGATAAAGAATTTGTGATAAATAAAATCTCATATTTGAATAGCGTCATTAATAAAATATCAATGAATTCGATGAATTAACTTTTATTGAAATCACCAGAGCATTATGATTTTATTCAACTCGTTCAAACACTCATTCATCATCCTCTGCAGATCATGTGAACATGGATAAAATTAATGTTTTTAAATGTGTTTTTTTTTACTATAATTCATATATTACCGTTTCAATGTGTCCATTCTGTGCTACGTATGACTTCTTGTTATCTTTGTATTCATCAAGTTCTGGTAAATCTGACAATGATATCATATCTAGTCTCTGAAATAACAAATTACTGCATCTAGTACTACAATCATTGTAATGAGCATAAAGTTTTACCAGGATAACATGCATTTATTTCACACTTCATGCATTTTCAATGTCTTTGTTTATTTGTTGTTTTTTGTTGTTTTTCTTTTTGCTGTTTTTATTTATTTTGGTTTGATTTTTTGCATCGATTTTAACACTTTCCCTGAAATTGATACTAATCATCATTAATATCATCATATTATCAATCTATAATCGTGGTTGTCATCATCAGAATTATCATCACCATTATCATTATTGCTATTCTTATTCTTATCACACTTCGTATTATTATAACAAAACCGTCAGAAGCACAACCACGTCATCACCATTATCGTCATTGTCTTTATCATCATTATCATCATCATCAACAACAACAACAACAACAACAACATCATCATCATCATTTACATCATCATCATCATCATCATCAACAACAACAACAACTTCATCATCATTATTTTTATAACAAAACCATCAACATCATTTTCATTACATCATTATTCTTTCCTTCACACATCATAATGATTATTCATAAAATCATATAATTGTTGCATGAGTTTTATCTTTAGTATTATAGTAGCTTATTATACATTGCTGTGTTCAATACTTAATTTTATTGATCGAGTACACAGCTGTCAAATCTATATTGGATGATTCGCTAGCCTAGTCTGATTAAGGGTAAAAATTTAGATAATTTTAACCCAAGGAGAAAATTAAGGTTCCAACAGCATAATGATTACCCAACATTTTTTTGTTTTCGACAAAAAATTTGTTACTTAAAACTACAATAAGAATTTATAGCATTTTTTTCCCTAGAAATTTAAAGAATTATATTTGGGTTTGTATGCATTTGATATAGATTTTTAAAAAACTATGAAAAAGAAAAGGGAAAAGGGTATTGGGGGACGATATACAGTTAATGGTTGTTTTGGAACGATGAAAAGGAAAGAGCTTAAGATAGAAATTTAAACCGAGTGTGGTTTATTAATCACTGGTTCAAACGCCGAAGTTCATTGGTTATATTCCATAAGGTGTGAGATAATTACAGTTAGTTATTCGTATCCTAAGTTATATCCTAACTGTGTGATATTTTTGTATCTACTGCTTATGGGTAAAAAAACTTTTTCTAAACTTTTAAGTGAATGAACGTATGCTTCTTTATAAGCCCATAGCTTTTCTTACCTTAGCCCACTCTTTCCTACAATATTCCTCATACATCTGTTGCATTCTAGGATTGGCAAATTTTCGTGTAACTGGGGTAAATTCTTGCCGGTAGGATGAACATTCTGAAATGTCTGTTTCATATTCATCGCTGTCAGTATCGCCGTAATCCGATGGTGATTCGTGTCCGTAGTCGTAAATTTCTACCTCGATGACGTCATCCTCAAACTCGTTGTCAACAACAGCGTTCCTTTCTTCATAGTAATGATCAAGTTCTTTTTTCGTTAATATAATCTTATCTAAAAATAAGATATAATAAACGAGATGGTAAAACATATCATAAACATGTTAACATATCTTATATAAATCTCTGGGTTAATTTTTACTTTGTCATAGATGCATTTGTGGTCCTAATAGATGGGTTTCACTGTAGGTGTTAAGAAAATTTATACTTGCTCACCAAAATGAAAAAAAAAATACGAATATCAATGAATCAATTATGGAAAAAGACAAATTCCTGTCCATGAGAATAAAAAATAATGGGAAACAAGTAACATTATTGCTCATGCATGCGAATGCAAAATATGGGAAAAATCCAACTTCCCACTAACACGAATAATAAGAATGGGACAAGTATAAAATTCCTAATCATACGATTAAGAAGAGATTGAGTAGTTTCATATATATGTTAATGTGGTTAAACATATGAGAACGTAACAAATTGTAGCTCATGGTAATACAATTATTGGAAAAAATCAAACTCCTATTTGGTTGAATAACAAGAATGGAAAAAGTATCAAATTCGTGCATGGTAAAGATGGGAAATGTATTAAAATTCTGCGCACGTGAACAATAAGAACGGGAAAATATCAAATTCATGCTCTCATGAACTTTAAGAATGTGAAATACATGTACATATATATACATTCCTGCTCACGTAAATAATTAGAATGGGAAAATTAATCAAATTTTTAGTCACGTGAATAATTTCAAATTCCTGCTCATATGAATAATGAGAATGGTAAGATATCAAATTTCATTTCATGTGAGTAATAAGAATTGGATAAGGATCAAATTCCTGCTCACGTGAACCAGAGCTTTGATAGAAAGAATTCAAAGAAAAAAATAGAAAAAAAACAATATTCCAGCAGTATTCCACAAACCTGCCTCTTTCTTGAAATTTTGACCGTCACCACAGGCCGCTAATTTCACTAAATTATCTATTTTTCGTTTCCGACGCTGAGGACATAAGTTTCTTTGAACATAGTTCTTCAAGTTTTCCCCTTGCAAACGTGGTACACAATGGAAATTGCCCATGGTTTTGATTTAAGATTAATTTATAAATGCCGTTATATGCTGCAGTATCAGGCAATTCAACGCAAAGTTGATCCCATGACGACTCTACGTAGAGACGACGTAAAATGACGTCATAACATTCCGGTTTGGTATAAATAAAACTGACTAATATAAAGTTAGCGCTGTGGTCTATCGTTAACTCTTTTGGTGATAAAAAAATTCTTACATTCTAGCGTTATTTCAAATTGCACGCATATTATGAGCATGTCAATTATTTTAAAAACATCAGAAAATTAACCTGCATGTTACCAGTGTGTGTATTGTTTCCTTGTTCACTGAATTGTAAAAAAATGTCATCACGATTTGACAAAAAAAAAAGAAAAGAAAAGAAAGAAACGCCAGCAAATATTTGATATAATAAGTCTATGCTTAATGAATTCAACATATTTCAGTATACACCGTTTAAATAAAAGTCGGAAATTTAAGATAAATGCCAGATACTTAAAAATTTCCATCTTGTGAGTTTGAAATTCAGGAATAGTACTTTTACCTGGGAACATTTAAATATCAGTAATTGTACTTTATAATAAGTCTCGTTTATAATAAAGGTAAACATTTATTTCGAGAACATTGGGTACATGTATTTAAAGTGCCCTGGTGGTAATCTTGGTTAAATGAAGCAATCTAGGCCAAAGAGAAGCTGGCATTATACAAAGTACGCGCGTGTTTGCATTATTAAATAGGTATTGGGTGCGACTGAAGACCGTTGTACATATAATCCTATTTAACTTTTGTTCGATAATTATAAGGATGGAAAATTTTATTATTTAAAATTTTCAAATATATTAGATATAATTGAATTAATGCTCAGACTGAAAAATCTGTATGAATGGTACTTTCCTTTGTATATAATAATACCATAATTTGAACAAATTTGTCTCAGGAGTCTAAATCTGTAAAATAAACTTTCTAAAACAAAACACAACAAAATCAATAGAATTTGTAATTTTAATAGGCATTTAGATATTACTTATATAAATAAAATTTGCAGTGATATACAGCACAATCTTATACCAATGCAGCATCTATTACATTAATATGTTGAAGTTAAAACATTAACATTTTAAATCTGTAAAAAAGTCACATTATTCCCTAACAAAAAATCCAACTCATTTTTCAACTTTTAATTTCATAACTTTCAATTTTGTCAAGATACAATATAGGAACTTTCAATTTTGTCAAGATACAATATAGGAACTTTCAATTTTGTCAAGATACAATATAGGAACTTTCAATTTTGTCAAGATTCAATTTAGAAACTATTAATTTCGTTAAGTAACAATCAAAAAGCTTTCTATTTTGCCAAGAATAAATTAAGGAACTTTCATTCTTGTCAAGACACAAACACCATTGTCTATCTGATACAAACTTATATTCTACAGATCATAGACATCCCAATGTTATTTGAGCCGTGTCATGACAAAACCAACATAATGGGTTTGCGGCCAGCATGGATCCAGACCAGCCTGCGCATCCGCGCAGTCTGATCAGGATCCATGCTGTTCGCTATCAGTTTCTCTACTTGTAATAGGATTTGTAAGCGAACAGCATGGATCCTGATCAGACTGCGCGGATGCGCAGGCTGGTCTGTCTGGATCCATGCTGGTCGCAAATCCATTATGTTCGTTTTGTTGTGACGCAGCTCATTTTATATAAATCATATGTATTTTTTCAATCTCTTTATTTTACCATACTGCATGATCTGTTACAATATACATGTATGTCACAGCTGCTATACAGCAAACCATAACTTCAAATGGTAAAAAAGCAAATCAAAAAACAAACAAAAACATTTCAATTATTGCACATATCCATGTGTATAGCAAGCTAATGCAAAAGTCCAAAATGCAACAGCAAAAAATATTGTTTAGCTTACTGACTAATGACTAACTTCAGGATACAAAAAAGAAGCTTCTAAGTAATAAAAGTAAAAATCATTTCTGGAACAAAATGGGCCTTTAATGTAATCCTGTCAAACATCCAAGTTTGCAAAAAGAGGGTCATTGCATAATTTTGTTAAGTAACTGATAGAATTGTTACTGTTTCCAATTTGAACTAGTAAGTACTTTATACTTAATATTAGTCAGTAAACAGAGTACAACAACAACAATAATAAGTGGTTATTACAAAGCCAGTCATTAGGGACATATATATTGTATTTCACTGTAACAGTTTCATCATTTATAAATGTTCCATTTGAGACTTTTCCTTATTTTTTCATAGTTACAATTTTGCCATTTATGTATGGCACACATATGTGATAATTCTAATATTTCACTGCTAGAATTCTGCCAGATACAACTGGCCAAAATATCTTATTTCACTTTATAATTAAGCCATTTTTATATGACTCAAATGACAAACTATGTATTTCTCATTTTTTTTCTGTTTGAATGTTTCGTTACCTACAAATGGCTAATACTTTACATTTTTAGTTGGCATTCAGCCAGTTACAAAGAATCTACAATTCACTATTTTTTTCATTTCATCTCAGCAGCAATTTCAGTAAAGATTCCATTTGGTCTTGCTTTTGTGGCCTCTTCTTCCCCTACAGTATCTAGAACCATCTGCCGGGCCTCGGACCGACTCATGTCACCTCGACATAACAACAAATTGATCATTTGCTCAAGTCTTATATCCTGGAACCTCTTCATTATTCCCTGAAAGAATGACAAATCTTACGTTTACACACAAAAAAATTTAAACAATAAGTTGCTTCCCTTACATGTTTCCCAAGAAGAAATAAGGGAAGTAATTCATGCAAAACAATCAGAATTGTTTCCCTTTTCAATACTTAAGATATAATGTCTACTACAAAATGTAATAAAGTTGTCATCTTACATTATTTCCCAAATAAGTAAGAAATTATTCTATACAAAAAATACGATTATTGGATATTGACCAAAGAATTTTGTAATTTCTCATATTGGGAGCTTTCATTCAAAATCAAGCCAAGAGTTATGGATATTGGACAGCAATCTCCAAATTTAATCCCTAAAACTTGTATAAAGGTTTGAGTCTATACTTTCATAAGTTCTGAGAATTGATGTCACATGCAAAAAATCTTTCAAGAATTTTCAAAGCTCACAAAGGGCTATAATTCAGTCAAAATCCATGCCAACTTACATTACTGCATAAATTATTGAATGTGTATTTTCAAGGCGGGGATAAGCAGGACAGCTCTGCATATACCTTGTATATTAAAGCTAAAAGAAGGCATCTGCCAGCATGACATCCACTATATATATATATAATGATGTCAATAAGCCACAAATATTATCAATATTTATCCTACTATTGTTTTTAATGTTGTTTTTTTTATTTTGCTAGGGTTTAATGTCACACCAATAGGTATAGGTCATAAGGCGACTTTCCAGCTTTACTGGTGATGGAAGACTCTGGTGCTCTTCTGTACATTATTTCAGGCACAAACAGGCACCAGAGTAAAACCACTGACATTCCATAAGCTAGCTGGATAGCTTCCCAACAGAAAGGCTTTCTTGTGACTGGAACCCACAACACTGAGAGGCAATGGCTTGTAGTCAACTATCTTAATAAAGCAGCCATGTAGGCCCTTTGAATGTTAAGTATTTAATCTTTTCCTCACCTGTGCAATCAAACTCTGCATGTGAGTTACAAATTTATTATTTCTTACATAAAATATGTCACAGATTATACTGTAATCTTACCAAGGCTGAATGAATTTGGATCAACCCTCAGCAAACAAAATATCAGATTACTTGATTGTGAGAAGAAGGTTAATGCTTTGAAAGAGGATATTGAGAAAGTTGTTGAGTTAAAGGTTGAAAATGCTATAGTTGAATTTAGGGAAAGGGAACAAAGGAAATGCAACATTATAGTTCATAATGTGCCGGAATCTGGAAAGAAGGAAACAGATGCACAAAGTCTTAGGGATATATTTCAAGTTGTCAAATGTTCAGATGTGAAACTTGAGAGCTTTGTAAGATTAGGCAAACCTGGTGTTAAGGCCAGGCTTATTAAAGTGCACCTTGAATCTGTTGATGATAAGCACAAAATTCTAAGTGGGACAAAATATTTAAGGGAGAAGAGGGATCATGAATATGCACATGGGTGGAGTAAGGTGTTTTTAACGCCAGATCAAACAAAGGAAGAAAGATTGAAAAGTATTAAACTGAAAAAGGAACTTGAAAGAAGGAGGGATGAGGAGAATAATCTGGACTTGATCATCTTTCGGGGTAAAATTATAGAAAGGAGGTCAAAGTCACAAGTCGGGGCACTAAATGTATCGGATAGTAGAGGGGGGGGCCCTGTATTAGAAACAGTGCCAGCACCTTTTCGTCTGTAAAAGTAGCAGAAATGAACATGTAAATAATGTTAAAGTTAAACAAGTTACTCCTGTTCAAGTTAATGTTAATGTTAATTCTGATCTCATAGATTCTATTCATTGTGATAATTGTATCTTTAAGGGACATGATTATGAATCAGTTTCTAAGAAGAAAGGTTTTGTTGATCTCAAAAACACAGACAGTGTTTATGAAACTTTAAATTATACCGATGACTGTTTATTTGAAAATGTTTCTGAAAGCATTGATGATAATAGAAATGTACAGAATTCAGAACCTGATGACGCTACCTCTTGTTCGACATCTGTATGTAGTGAAAACACAAGTGACTTTACAGTAAGGACAAATGGTGATGTAATTTCGGAAAACAATGATGATATTATTTCTGAAAATAACAATAACAATATTATTGAAACCCAAATCAAGAAGTGCAAATGTATTTATACAAATGCTGACCAATTGCAAAATAAATTGAATGAGCTTCAAATACTTGTGACTAGTATTAAACCGGACTTTATATTTGTGACTGAAGTACTACCGAAATATAACGTGGACAATTTAACATGTTCTTCATTATTATATAAACTTGAAGGTTATACATTGTTTCCTAGCTCAGACCATGGTAGAGGGGTGAATATATATGCGAGGAATGATCTAAATGTTTCTGCTAATGAACAACTTAATTCTATGTATAATGATGCATCTTGGTGTGACTGGTCTATTGAAGAAAAAACTGTACTTGTTGGCTGTATTTATAGAAGCCCTTCAAATATAGATGCGTGTGATATTATAAATAACATGTTAAAGGAAGCAACTAGAATAAGTTCTAATCTACTTGTAACTGGAGATTTCAACATGAAAGATATTGATTGGGAAACATATAGTACCCCCCATAGTGAAGGTCATCATGAATATAAATTTATTGAGTGTATACGTGATAACTACTTATTTCAGCATGTAACACAGTTTACGAGATGTAGAAATGACCAGATAAGTAATGTGTTGGACTTAATTCTTACCTTGTGTGAATCCAATATTAACAATATTGAATACTTACCTTCTTTGGGCTGTAGTGATCACGTAATATTACTTTTTGATTTTCTTTGTGAGTTCAAAGAGCTTTATACTGGAAATGGTTTTTATATGTATCAAAAATGTGACTTATTAGGATTCTCTAATGAATGGCAGCAATTAGATTGGATTTTGCTTTTTGAAAATTGTAATATCCATGAAATGTGGGAAATATTTTCAAATAAGTTCTATGAATGTGTTAATAAATATGTACCAATGTCTAAACCTAAGAAAGGATTTAAACCGAAACCACTTTGGATGACTGGGGAAACCCTCAAACATATTAAAAAGAAAAGACATGCATGGGATAAGTACCTTGCAACAAGACGCCATGAGGACTATGATGAATACAAAAGTATAAGAAATGCTGCAAATGACATTATTAAAAATGCTAAAAGAAGTTATGAGAAAGATATATCACGCAAAGCTAAGACAGAACCAAAACATTTTTGGAAATATGTTAAGAACAAAACTAAATCAAGAGATGGTGTTTTCAATTTGAAAGACGAGAATGGTAATTTTACAACCTCAAACCAGCAAAAGGCTGAATTGTTAAATGAGTTCTTTACAACAGTATTTACAAAAGAAAATTTGGATTGTGTACCTAACATGAAAGATAAGACTGTGTTAAAAGACCTTGATGATATACATATCTCGGAGAGTGAGGTGTTGAATTTATTAAAGGAACTTGATCCAAATAAATCAATGGGTCCAGATGATATACACCCATACATAATAAAGAGTCTGGCTGATGTTTTTGTTGGGCCGTTAACCGCTATATTTAGAAAGTCACTTGAAAACGGATTACTTCCAAATGCATGGAAAGATGCAAGAGTATCGCCAATTTTTAAAAAAGGAAGCAAAACAAATCCTAGTAACTATCGACCAGTTAGTCTAACATCAATATTGTGTAAAACATTGGAAAAAATTATTCGAAAGCACATTATGAAACATATTGAAGAAAATAAATTATTATCTGACAATCAGTATGGTTTTCGGACAAGAAGGTCTTGTGCTTTACAACTTCTAAATGTATTAGAAGAATGGAATATTTATATGGAAAATTATCAAAGCTGGGACACCATATATCTTGATCTAGCAAAGGCTTTCGATAAAGTCCCACATGTACGTTTATTAAATAAAGTGTCATCTTTTGGAATCAAGGGAAATGTATTGATGTGGATAAAAAGTTTTCTTTGCAATAGAAGACAGTGTGTATCAATTAAAGGTAGTACGTCATTGTGGAAAGCAGTGGATAGTGGAGTGCCGCAAGGTAGTGTGTTGGGGCCGGTACTTTTTATTATGTATGTGAATGATATCACAGATAATGTCAAATCAAGCATTAAAATATTTGCTGATGATACAAAATTGTATACACCAACTAGCAAGTCGGATGTCCTCCAAAATGATATTGACTCAATTATGAACTGGGCAGTAAAATGGGAAATGAACTTTAATGTTGATAAATGTAAGGTGATGCATTATGGTCATGCAAATCCTCAAAAACAGTATGTTATGAATAACAAGACTTTATCGGATACTCAAGAAGAATGTGATCTAGGAGTTATTTTTGAAAAAGATCTTAAATTTAGCAAACATATTTCTACAAAGATTAATAAGGCGAATAGTATTTTAGGCCTTATTAACCGGTCTTTTGAATTTTTAGATGAATACACCTTTGTGAAATTGTATACAGCTTTGATTCGTCCTCATGTTGAATTTGCAAATGTTGTGTGGAATCCATATTTAATAAAAGATATATCAAGTCTAGAAAAACTTCAACAAAGAGCAACAAAACTAGTTTCATCATTAAAAGATCTGACATATATTGACCGTCTTAAAAAGCTTAAACTGCCAAGTCTAATACATCGCAGATTAAGAGGGGACATGATTCAGACTTTCAAAATAGTAAAAGGCTTAGATGACTGTGTTTTTGAAATTTTTTTTAGTTATTCGGCATCAACAAGGGGACATAATTTAAAACTAGAAATGCCTCGTAGTAGAACAACTCATTGCCTACATCAGTTTTCAAGACGTGTAATTAAAACATGGAATAATTTGCCAAAAAATGTAGTAGACTCAAAAAGTGTTCATGAATTTAAAATAAAACTAGACCAACACTGGACCGGAGACACTCCATATAAAGTTTAAAATGTTTATTGAAAAATTATGCTGTTATAATTGTATAGCAGAGTGAACAGAAGTAGATAAAAGTATATATAATTAAACATAGAAGTGGTGAGAGCAATAAGAAGAAGTACTGAAAGATTGTCAAAAGAAGAGGGGCTTAAAAAGGGCTTGGCCCTTCCATCAGAGCCCAAAATCATCCTACAGGTATCATCCTACAGGTAATCAATAAAATGATGAAAAAAGAGCAAGTCGAATAACTTACAGCTATTTCCAAAGACAACATTGAAGTGTCCTTTAGTTTCAGACACTCTGCCATCATTGGTAGGCAGGCAAATGTAACCTCAGACTGAAAAACAAATGATACAACAATCAATTTCTGATATTATATTCAAAACAACTAATGACCAGGAAAAAAGTATAATATCTCATCAAATAGACACATGCAATAAGAACTCCCTTAGTTTCAGCATACCTGTTACAGCTTTATTGTTAAGTAATGAAAGCTTAAACCATTTTGTAACCCTTTTTTTCCCCAATCTGGCTTCATGAAATTAACTAATATTTGTCTTACATAACAAAACCTACACATGTAGTTATGGCCCCTGACATGTCCAAAACCTATGATCTTTTACTTAAGTCACAGACAACTTAGCCAGTAATCAACCTCTCCTCTCTCTTTAACCCTAACCTGATTGAACTAAAAAGTAATTTGCCTTCACCACTTTGCCACTTGTATAGGGCCAGGCCGGACTACACATCCATGCTCTCTGACTATACTGTTGGTCTCTCAATTTGTGTATTTTGTTATTGAATACCCTTAAACATTAAATGGACTGGTCCATATTCAAAACAGCAAATCCATTACACAAAATCAGTGGGTTAAGCTAAGAGACATGAGGAAGGCTATTGGTTTAGTTTATAGGAATTTACATTAGTTTGAATGTGTTGGAGTTATAAGTTATTGAAACACTCTCGATTCCTTTATCTGGAACCAACCAGAACTTAGCAATAAGTGTAGTTTCTTCCTCACCAAAACAACGTCTTACCCCTGACAGGGGCTTTGAACCCATGTAGCCAGCAATCCTAAGATTACTGGTCAAACATGATATTTTTGTTTATTAAAGTCAATTATCAACTCTATCAACTCACTTGTTTCGTTGTTTTAAACTTTTTAAACATAAGTTGAAGCTGTTCTGCCTCCCTTATAAGTTTCTCTGCTGCATTCTTTCTTTCCTCATACTGTTTGAAAGACAGTTTCCTACAAAACAGCAACATGTTAGCAATTTATTCAGGTTTCTTACAAAACATAGACTATGCAATTAAAAATTTTCATCTAACCACTTTTAAAAACTTATGAAAATATTGGTTGTTATTTCCTAAAATAAGAAACAAAAAATAAACAACAAGCGATAAAAGCTATGATTTCTTATATAAAAAAGCAACGATTAAAACAAAGATTTCCTAATAAAAAAAAAAACAATATGCAAAGATTCCCTAATAAAAATAACAAGAAATAAAGATTTGCTTAACAAATGATGATAAATGTTGATCTTTACTTCATTTAAAAAATAACCCAGTCATAAATAAAAAAAATACTAGTTTACTTACCTAGACAAGATGGCCTTAAGATATTCTTTTAAGATACATTTCTTAGCCTGATCATACAAAGTTTGTTCCAACTTTGGTTTGAGATGAACAAAATCTGTACCATAATCATGCCATGTGGCAACAATAACTTCAATAGCCTGTGGACTCTGCTGCCTACAAATATACAACTTAATATTACCTCCGTGTTCACAAAGAAAAGATCAGGATCAGGATCAAGTGATCCTGATTTTATTTTCATTGTTTTATATAACTAATATTGATTGTATTTTGCTAGAATTGAATGGTACATAAAGTTAATGTAATATTTTGCTGATTTGCAAAGAAACAATCCTGTTTTGGGATAAAATAGACAAATAACGAAACAAATACAAAAATAATGGGATCAAAATAAGGATCAATTTTAGGATCAAGATCAATATTTGGATTAACTGTAAAATGCCCATATCTTTCAAAAATTACAATAAATTTATTCTTTAATTTCAAAAACATGCTATTTCAAGTCCAGTTTTATCAAGTTAATATTAAATATCTAATCTATAAGAATAAACAATGGATAATATTTGAGTTTTTAGATTTGATCCTGATCTTGATCCTGATCCTAAAATCTTTGTGAACACGGGGCCTGAATGTATTCCAACATGTTAATTTTTTGCAGACTGGCAACAGCAATAGGTTGCCTATGACACCTGTATTTACCCTAAAACTTCTGAATGTTCTCAATGGACTTTACCAACTTCCACTTGTTTTATCTGTCCATTATCAAAACTTGGGGTTATCAAGACGAAATTGTAAAGTATAGAGCCTCAGGGAAAAGGCTTATCATTTTTGGTTCAGGCAGGTTATGGGTTAAATTACACCAGTCTGAAGAATGTGCAGGACCTAAAATGTGAGTCTTGAAGTTTTATTATTTTGACATTCAAAACATGCCTTTGTTTTAAAAAAATCCAAATATAATACAAGGCATATTAAACAAAGTAGACATGGATATTCAATCCTTTGTATAACTACCATGAATAAAAAAAAAGTTTTAACAATAGCAAAATGAAAGAAAATAATATAAAAACTCAACTATTTACCATGATTTTGTCATCAACTCATTAAAACAGTGTTCATGACTCCTCAGATCTATCAGGACTTCATCTAGGACATAACCCACCCTGTAATAATAAAATAGTTTTATAAACACCGTGAAAAAATACAATTATTTTATTAACACCTTGTACTCATACAATTACTTCATAAACATCAAATCATGATAGTAATTAAAGATGCTGTCTAACTGCATTCATCAATACTTATAACACTATACTTACAACTTTTTGCATGGTAAAATTACACTATCATGATAATTTGCAAGATTTATCATAACCAACATGTCAGTTTCATTGGTTAAGTTACATTATTACAGTAATATGTTAAGTAAATTTACACACTCATAGCAATTTGTTTGTTAACTTACATAAAGTAATCTGCATTTTTGTCTCACACCATCGTGGCAAGTTTGCTCCGTTAACTTACACTTACATATTAATTTGTTAAGTTAACTTACACCATCATGGCAATATGTTTATTAAATTTACACAAACACGGCAATTTGTTTAGTTAGCCCAGATACCAAAGCAATTATCATGTTTAACTTACAACATTAGGGCAATTTTGCCTGGCAAGAGCATTTTCATTGAAAAGTCTCCCGTTACAAGTTCAAATTGCTATAAAACTATGAAAACTGCTTCAGTACTAATAAAACTTGGCACACATGTTGACTGGACCATTGCCTTTGTAACCACATGCTCAGTCTTAAATTTCCTGTTACCATGGCAACGAGGGGACATTTCAAAATTGCCAAAAATCACTATTTTTAGTTGATTTTTTTCTTTCAAAATTGATTTCAAAGTGCTGCAACTTCTCAATGGATTGAGATAGAGTCAAGGGCTTTTTAGCATTGGTTTGCACGTTACCTTATGATCCACCTGGGCTCATTTCTAGCCTCCCACAAGTCCAAAATTTTCTTGGCGATGAGAGGGGCTGCAGCTCCCTTCTAACCCCTAAACAGAAGGGGGCACATCCCCCTTCTGGCATCCCTTAAGTTATCTTTTGGATAGGGGGCAACGCCGAAAAAGTGGTCACTTATTTAAACAACATTTCTCAAACAAAAACAAGTGTTAGGGGCCTAAATAAGGCATTTTTACACTATTTGAGACAACAAAGGCGTTAAAAGGCGTGTATATCAGGTAATTGGTTAACTTGCACCTATTGTCTTGTAACATTACACCAGATTGCTCTGTTTAATTGATAATTTGCAGATCATGGCAATATGTTAAGTTGAACTTGTAACGCCACCATGGCAATATGTTAAGTTTAACTTACACCATCATGGCAATTGTAGTAAATCTGTCATTTAACACCTGGAATCTGTCTTTACGTATATTTGTATCTTCATCCTCCTCTTTATCAAACTCCGTCTTCAAGTAACGTTTACGTAGATTCTTCATATAGTCCCCAAACGTCAACAGATTGTTTGCTGTTGCTATCTGTAAAAAAAATGTAAAAGAAATGTTAATAAAACGTTGTAATGAATAAAAAAAACTCTTAGTATAAAACTAGTAAGATGAAGGAGTAAAAAGCTATTTTTGGGCAAGAGTATCTGTATACAATTTGATAACATTCTGTTTGTAAATTTCTGATAACATGGTTTATACAAGTTCTTTAAAACAAAATTTAAGGGTTTTTTCCAAGTTTTGTTTTCTTTATTCTTTTAAAGACCTAAAAAAGTTGTAATTTAGGACTCACATAGAAAACATAGTTATAACTTTATAAGTAGGGATGTCATTCGGAGTCCGGATATCCGAACGTTCGGATCACGATTCGATGTCCGGAGCCGATTTTCGGATCTGGATATTGGTATAAAATATTTCAGAATATTGAGAAAATGTGATAAATACATGCGTTGAGATAATCTCGACTTAGACATGGTGTTGACACCATATTGTATATTGTACCTTAGTTTGACAATACACATCATAATCTATGCAGACCACAAAAAATCAATAATTACTATAATAAGTACGAGTCGTGTATGACGACATGTTGTTAATCTAAACAAATTTAAGTTTTGTAGGATTCAAGATTAATATTCTAAGTCCCATGTGATTGTCATCGGCAACGATGTTACATTTTTTATGTCCAAATTTAGATATTTAATTAGGCTATTATTTTTTATATATATTTCGGCTTATCGATTCTTCGACTCCTTATTTTGAGAAAATGAAAAATCTGCAGAAATAAAATAATCAAATCAAGAATGCACTTACGAAAAATAATATGTTTATTATCACAGCTTTTATTGAAATTGATACGATAATTTTCCGACAAAATAACTTTCTCCTTCAGTATTAATGAAATTTGCATTTTTAAAAGAAAAATCACAGTTTCTCTTTATACCTTATAATGAACACTTAACATGTGTGTAATTCATGTAAGTTTCAGCAACTTCTTTGATGATTCGAATCAAACAGTCAAGGCTACATGTTGGTAAACATCAAAGATTGGCAGATTCAGCTACACACCATGTCAAAGGTCATCGTGTGTAAATTGTATGCGTGTTATTGAACAATGGAAACATTATATTTATTTTTTTACATGTGTTTTTTGTTTTCACAAATGTGAGCGAGTGTTATTGTGTATTATAGCACTAATTGAGGAATTGAGACAATCGGCGATGAATTTCTTTCATTATATTTGAAATCTTAAGTACCATACTCACTAATTTTATCGATAACGGCATATCTAATATAGAAAAAATAAAATCAATAACGAAACATTTTGACATCTAACATACAATTAAAAAGGAAATAAACAAAATACTACACTTTGAAAAAACTCGCTAAAAATGGTTATGTCCTATCAGCCAACTAAGAATATAACAACGATCAAAACATCCGGATGTATTCGTATGTCTGATGCGGATATCCGGATGGCCGTTTCGGCTCCAGATGACATCCCTAGTTATAAGCACTATTGCCATCTTCATGATGTTAATTAAAAAATCATTCCTTAGTTTTCTAATAACTTTATATCTTTATTTACAACAGAAATTACAATCAAGAAAATTCAGTTAATTTACAATCATTTTCAAGGGTTATGGAGTCCAAAATCTTTAAAGGGATCTTAACACAGACACTAAATTTAAGAGATTTTCTAGATCTGTGCTATAAAAAAAAACATGGACGAAGAGGACGATACAGTATTATCACTGCAAGCATTTTAAGTATTAATAATTTAAATAATAAATCTATTTCTATTTTAAGAAGTTCCAAAATTACCAAGTAGTGAAGATAAAACTTGGGCTCTCTTCTATCCTGTAAATGTCTGTCTTTGTAAATATCAATAACACCTGTAATAAATTAAAAGTTTTTGTATTAGATTACCACCTATTTTAAACCCTTTTCCCAAAATTCCATTTTCTTCTAAAGTTTTTGCCCCAATATATCAAGTTCCTAATATCACTTTTATTAGAATTTTCCCCTCCTTTTTTTTAAATTTCATGACAAGGGGTAAAAACCATTTTACTTTTTTTTTCAAATTTCCCCAATATTTCTTTTTAAAAATCATTTTATTTCCCCTTTCCATTTTTTCCCAAGAGTTATCATTTCCTTACAAATCCAGTTTCTCATACAAATATTTTTTCCCCTTTTCTTTTTTTTTAAAATGACTCTAAACAAACCATTTACACTTTTCAGTTTTTAAGACTGAAATCAGTGGTCTCCCTTTCCATATTTGCTAAAAGTAACTGCCCCATACTATAAAGCTCTTTACATAAACCTATTATTACCTTCTGTAACTTTTGTATGAAACCAGTTCATGGCTGGAAAATACTACTATAGCTAGTCTGTCAGCATATTATGATTTAAATACAGATATATAAATACCGGTATAAAAATTATGAAAAGGGCAGATCCCTCTCAAGATATTTTTTAACAAAATAAAGAAACAAGAGGGCCATGATGGCCCTGAGGTCGCTCACCTGTATATAGGCCCCCCGAAGCGGGGCCAGTTTAAACCCCAGGGCTTTTATTTGAACAAACTTGGAATTAATACACCCATTAGAAGAAGTTTCATAATGTTAAGTTTTTGCTATACACATATAAGGAAAAAAAATGACCTTCTCCCCCCCCCCCCCCCGGCAGAGTTAATTTTAACCCAAGGGCTTTTATTTGAACAAACATGGTAGACACCCATAAGAAGATGTTTCATGCTAAACATCTAAGGTCTAGCTCATTGGGTTTTTTAAAAGAAGATTTTTTTAAGTTTTTACTATACACATATAGTTAAAAACAATGACACCCCTGGGGCGGGGCCAGTTTTGACCCAAGGGCTTTTATTTGAACAAACTTTGTAGACACTCACTAGAAGATGTTTCATGCTTGATATCTAAACTCTAGCTATTTGGGATTTTTTCAAAGAGGTTTTTTAAGTTTTTGCTATACACATATAAGGAAATCAATTACCCCGGGACGGGGCCAATTTTGACCCCAGGGCTTTAATTTTGAACAAACTTTGTAGACACTCACTAGAAGATGTTTCATGCTTAATATCTAAACTCTAGCTATTTGGGATTTTTTCAAAGAGGTTTTTTTAAGTTTTTGCTATACACATATAAGGAAAATCAATGACCCCCGGGGCAGGGCCAATTTTGACCCCAGGCTTTTTTTTTGAACAAACTTAGTAGACACCCATTAGAACATGTTTCATGCTAAATATCTTAGCTCTAGCTCTTTGAGTTCTTTAAAAGAAGATTTTTTAAGTTTTTACTATATGCATATAGGGAAAATCAATGACCCCCCCCTGGTGCGGGGCCAATTTTGACCCAGGGCTTTTATTTGAACAAACTTGGTAGACACTCACTAGAAGATGTTTCATGCTAAATATCTTAGCTCTAGCTCTTTGGGTTCTTTAAAAGAAGATTTTTTAAGTTTTTACTATATGCATATAGGGAAAATCAATGACCGCCCTGGGGCAGGGCCAATTTTGACCCCAGGGCTTTTATTTGAACAACTTGGTAGACACTCATTAGAAGATGTTTCATGCCAAATATCTAAGCTCTAGCTCTTTGGGTTCTTTAAAAGAAGATATTTAACGTTTTTTTCTTTCGGTTGCCATGGCAACCAGAGTTCTGCATGGAATTAAATTCTTTGAACAATTTTTAAAGGTGACCACCCAAAGGAACATTCCTGTGAAGTTTGGATGAAATTGGCTTAGTGGTTTATGAGGAGATGTCATTTGAAGCAAAAGTTTACGGACGGACGCCGGACGAAAAACGATCACAAAAGCTCACCCTGTCACTTTGTGACAGGTGAGCTAAAAATAACAGACACTGTTTGATCCAGTCTATTTACAAGACAAGAACTAAGGAATCTACTGAAACCTTATAAAAAAGAAAAATAATATAATCTTTTATATTTATTATTTCAGGTTGATTTTGAAACATGTTTTTATAACTTGAACAATATTCAGGTATAATTCTGAGACTAACTAGATCTTGTGTCCAAACAGAATCACTGTAGTGGCGAACTATGGCTAAAATTCACTAACCCTGGTGTAAAAGGCAGATGCCAACACAAAATTCAGCATGAAATGGCTAATTATCATTTTAAAATCACTCCTTTTCATTGCTACATAAAACAGTATTTATATAATTTTATGTACCTTTCAATTCCTCAGCAAAATGACTAAGAACATCCACAAACTGTTCCAAACTTCTAAGAACAATACTTTCTCCTAACATAGTGGCAACTTGAATCTGGAAATACAGTTACATACAGGCAATTTGTACTGTGTTCTATTTAGTAAAACAGTTCAGAACAAAAAGTTCATACCTGTTTTGGTCCAAATCTGAAAATATATGTCCATAGGGCACAATATACCCCCATGTTCCACTGTTTTATAGTGTACAGATGGGACGGGTAGCGTGACAGCATGATAGCAATACAGACAGACAAGAGCTAATCTATATCCCCACACCCCCCACCTAAGGGGACATAAAAACAGTTATTGGTGTTCAGAATCTGGAAATTGCAAGCAAGTATATTATTCCTCTTAAAGTTTCTCACAAGTTGCAATGCAATACTGTACTCTACATGTTTCAAACATTGTCAGCTGGCACAAATAATGACTCACCTATCAAACCAGTGCCACAACCAACTGACTTTACCTTTCTGTGAGGAGCGGTGGTCTAGTGGTTAAGGTGTCTGCCTCTCAACCCAGGGATCATGGGTTCGAGCCCTAATCATGTCACAACCATGTTTCTTCATATGACACCAGTACTGGTTGGTTCCGGGAAGGAGACTCGAAAGTGATTAATATAAGTTGCAAGAACTTGTTTCGCAATCGAGCTTAAATAAATATGTTTAAACCAAACAAAAACCAACCAAGTTTAACAAGGCTCTATACTAATTAATCTTAGCATAATGGTACTAAAATACACTCAAATAAATAAGTTTTTTGTTAAATCTGACAAATTTCTATACTGAGGTCAATTTATATTAGCACTCTGGTCTAGTCTTTAGAAATCCCTTTAAATTAATAATCAGCAAATTGATACTGGAAGCCCTTTTTTATAAATGGACAATTCCAAACTATTAGGCAGAGGCAAGACAATTTAATAACAAGAACTGCCCAGTTAGAAAGCCAGCATGTGTGAACTAATGGAAGTTTCATGTGAATATCTTCAATAGTTTATGATCTATATAATATAAAGGAAGCTCCACATGAAACTTTAACTTAGAGTAACATGAATTTGGATGACATGTTGAGTATAATAGCCCCAACTTTTGTTTTGTTATGCTAATATTTCAGCACTCTTACCTAACATTATGTCATTGTCAATGCAACATTGAAAATAATAGCCTTAAAATTGTATATTCTTTTAATAATACAGCACCGTCAAGGTTCAACTTACATTTTGTTCAATCATTTGGAAAATAATCACAGGCAGCGATGTAACGTAGAAACCCTCACCATCCTGGTCCGGTCCTTCCTCTTTAAACCAATCCTGTAAGTTAACAAAAACATTGTCTTTTCTGAGGAATATAATCATCTTAAACAATAGGGTTACCATAATTCTTAGACTATCTTGTTCTGGAACTTGCAATCATCTTAAACAATAGGGTTACCATAATTCTTAGACTATTTTGTTCTGGAACTTGCAATCATCTTAAACAATAGGGTTACCATAATTCTTAGACTATTTTGTTCTGGAACTTGCAATCATCTTAAACAATAGGGTTACCATAATTCTTAGACTATTTTGTTCTGGAACTTGCAATCATCTTAAACAATAGGGTTACCATAATTCTTAGACTATTTTGTTCTGGAACTTGCAATCATCTTAAACAATAGGGTTACCATAATTCTTAGACTATCTTGTTCTGGAACTTGCATTTGTGTTTTTTTTTTTAAATTTCATTTTGGTTTTACGTCACATCAACACTGTAAAGGTCATATGGCGACTTACTGGTGGAGGAAGACCTCAGGTGCCCCTCTGTGCATTATTTTAGGCACCAAAGAGCACCTGAGTAAAACCACGAGCATTATTTTAGCTAGCTAGATAGCTTTCTCACATGAAAGAATTTGAAGTCCTTGAGGAATTCAAACCCAAAGTGGAGTGGGGCAAGTGGTTTGAAGTCAAAGACATTAACCACTTGGCCACTGACACCCCAACTTGCATATGATTTGAATTTATTTTACTGGGCCAGTATGGCATATCTTTATTAATTCCATTTTTCCATCTATACAAAAGCATTCAATACTTTTATGGAAAATTTCAAAATATGCACTGACTGAATAGCAAACAGTGCAGACCATGATTTGCCAGCTGATCTATTTCTGCATTGGTCACACGTGTAGATTTTGTCACTTCCAGCATGTTAAGCATTAACAATCATACAAGTAAATTTATTTTTTCTCCATATATTATTCTATACTTTATATATTAAAATATTAATATTTCATAAAAATAGATATACAGTGAGTGATATAAATCATATCTAACTGATGAAATAACACAACTGCTTATTACCTTTTGCTCAGTTTTCAAAGTATTGCCAGTCCATTCCTGTATATTAGATTTCATGTTCCGCAAGTACCTATTAAAAGACAATAACCATTTCCTTATTCAATATCATTCAATTTTCCTGAGGCAGGCTATAATACATTCCTGACCATCTATTTCTCTTTCATCAGTCAGATTAGCATGGTTCTTTCCCCATGCAGAACATGGATATTTTATCTCAAATCAAAGACAAGAATAATCTCAATCTACAGTTCAATTCACATGATAACAAGCATTTGATAGTATTGCGGGCAATACAGGAGTCCCCTACCGGTCCCTCAAAAAGTTCTTTAATTGTCATACACTCCTGTGTATTGCCATTTATAATGAATTTGAGGATGAAGTCTGTATTTGAAAATATCAACCACAAAACATAATAAAATAAGTTTGTCTATATCACAGTAATGTGTTAAGTTTCCATGCTTAGTAAGGAAATTATGTTTATACAACCTTGTCATATTATTACGATGTGGGATTTTAAAGTAAATCCTATAAGGAATGAAGAAGTTGGAGTGAAAATACCAGTTTCTCGAAAAAAAATCTAAGTTCAAGGGGGACATAATTCTGGAAATAGTCTTGCTAGAGTATTTAACCTTCTCAAAAATGTTGATTGATAATAAGAAACATATATATGAAGTTTGAAGTAGATACATTAGGAAATAAAGAAGTTATTTAAAAAAGACAACATTTTTTTCCCCTAAAAAATCTAAGTTCAAGGGAGGTAATACTGATATTTTTTGTGCTAGAGTTATAAACCTTGTCACATATGATGTGGTTGATGACCAGAAACTTAAATTTAAAGTTTGAAGTAAACACCTTAAGAAATAAAGAACATATAGTGAAAAAGCTGAAAAATTTAAATCAGAAATCTTGAAATTCAGGCTTTTTGTTGCCATAGCAACCAGAATTTTCAACATAGGAAGAAAAGAAAAAGATGTGCATAATCTCCAGACTGCCATCTACACATATTTCAAGTTTCATAAAAATATTTTCAGTACTTTTTGAGTTATCACTGGATCCAGTTTATGCGTTAAATTTGCCATATTTTCAGACTTTTTGTTGCCATAGCAACCAGAATTTTCAACATAGGAAGAAAAAAAAAAGACGTGCATAATCTCCATACTGCCATCTATCCATATATCAAGTTTCATAAAAATATTTTCAGTACTTTTTGCGTTATCGCGGGATCCAGTTTTGTGGACGGACGGACTGACGGACTGACAGACTGACAGACAGACAGACAGACGGACAGACAGACGGACAGACGGACGGAGGGTAAACCTAAAGTCCCCTCCGGTTAAACCGGTAGGGGACTAATAACACAGGGCTTTGTGGTGTATCTTCTTTAACAATATTTTGTTTATTTTGCTGAGTGCTTACACTCTTCTTTATAATGTTTTATTTATAGCTTATTCTATATTTTAACTTATCAACAATAATGTCTCCTAAAAGTATTATCTGACAAGTTTTATTGCAACTTTCACTTTGCAGGTCAAATATATCTCAAAAAGACAAGCATTAAGGTCCAAAGAAAAAATATTTCTAGGTTTGATTTAAGGCCATACACTGTTAATTGACATCATTTCAGATTTGCCTGTGAAGGACAACCCCTAAAGCTGTTCTGTAAATTACGTAAAATACAAAATGTTCTAATGGAGGAAACAACTGACATTAAATCAGACAGCTTCTTTATAATATCATTATAAAAACAAAACAAAAAAATAAAAATTAAAGAAATTTGTATTGTAGTACATAGTGTTTAATTTAGATCCCCATTTTATAAACTGTCTGTGAGTAACTATTAAGTTCTATGAACTAGGCATCTTTTTACTATAGTAATGGTAACAAAATACCAGGAAGCAAGAGAATTTTGTAGAAAATTACCCTGTAGAGATGAAAACAATACAAGCAAGTGATAAAAAAACAACAAAAGTATTAGAAATGTACTTACTGGTTTTGTAATTCCTCCACCATGTTGTTATCTAGAAGAGGTCCCAAATCTTTCGTATCAATGTTCAGTGATGGATGCTTCATCAGTTCAGGGGAACTGGAAAAAAGGTAAGTCATCCTTAGTATGCAACTAATTGAAAGAAGAAGCCCTTATGACATCATTTTAAAGTGACATGGATAAGGGATGATGATTGATTTATCAAGGAACAATGTAAACAGATTACAACCCAGTCTGATACTAAAGTTTAAATTAATGAAAAGTTTATCAAATAATTCTTAAAAAAGTAAAGTGAAACATTTTTTGCATATTACTTCTTTTGTGTAATTGTTTTTTTTCCTTAGCTGCCCAACTCGAAAATCAGCGACAGAAGAAATCACCGCTTGAAATTATAGCATTAGTCGTCTCCCTTATTTTGTCCTGTAAGAATCAAACTAGTATCAGTCTGAACAGTGTTTATAGGCTTTTTAACACCAGTTTGTTGTTTTTATGCAAAAAATTAATCACCCAGGCCTACAGCCTTCATGGACAATTTCTACACATCAAAACTCCAACCGATGAAAATAGCCGATTAACACAGTTCAGACTGATATTATTCTGATTCATTATCATATTCAAAATAAATCTTTTAACACTGTGTTTAATCAAAACAGATATACGACTTCACAAAGGAAAATACTACCATTTAACTTTATGTGTACTTACTCATAGCTATTGAGCCATTGTAACAAAGTAACAAACTCATTGCCCTCTAACTGTTGTCCAATCATATCCTGTATCTAAAATATAAAATATACATCCATAAATATAGCAGACAGTACAGTAGTTTTGTGCCTTAATGTGTCCCCTTATCTAGCACTATTTCATGTATTTGATTGTGTTTTCTGTGGAATATTCATCAGTTTATCATCACCATCAAACAGCCTTTAATGAAAAGAGTTATATTACAGTAACTTACCAATTTATTATCCAATTAAAAGAACATTTCTGGTGTAACTTACTTTGTTTCTTACGTATTTTGCCTCACATTAACAATCTGTTGTTACATTTAAAATAATAAATTAATCATACCTGTCTTTTTCATTTTCCATATAAACATATTATACTGTATGTGATGAATAACTTGTTCAAAAGGCATTTTCAAGACATGTGAAAAGACATTCCTGTAAGGGTTATGCACTTATTATTATGTTACAATAACTTTAACTTCAAAGTTAAAAACATATCTCCCGAGATTTTATTTGTTTTGGTTGTTTTCTTCATCACACTTTTACACTTAAACAGTAATGAAAATCATATGGCGGTATCACTGGTGGAGGAAGACCTCAGGTTTCCCTCTGTGCATACTTTCGAGCATGAACCAGTAGAACCACTAACATGTAGCTGGATAGTTTCCTGATATGTAAGAATCTAAAGTTCCTGATGGGATTCAAACTAACAGCAAAGAGGGGTAAGTGGTTTGAACTTTATGACTTTAACCACTCAAACAAACCAGAAAACTTATGATGACTACTCACTAACACATGTGTTGCAGAGGGCTTTTTGATACAAGTATGATGAACATCTATAAGGTAAGGAATTATTTTTATTATGTAATAAAAATTTTAGCATCAAAAATAAATATGTTTGTCCTATGAAAAACTTTTACATTGTATCAAACTAACTTACGTGTTTTGAGAGAGCTTTATGATACATCCACACAAACTTGTTGACAATGTTGTAGTTGGGCGGGAACACAGGTGGCAGTAACGACTGTAATACAGTAAACACATGATGTTAAAATCAAGTTATAATATAAACTGACCAAAGAATATAATATATCAATATCATAATAACCACAGGAATTCTAGCTCATCAAATCATTAACATAGACAGACCCAATGCATATTGTTATAAAACCAATCTTTAAGAGTCTAATTTTCAAGTAGTAGATGGTATTAACTTCTTACACTAAATTGTAAATGGGTTAGGTACCGTGAAAAAACATCCTACTGGGATTTCTTTTTCTTGAATTGTTTATTTATATACATTTATATCAATTGTAACATTTTCAGATTCATCCTTACCTTTTGTGTTCCTTTTCGACCCAAAATCTTAGAGAATACCTAAGTTTACCAAAACAGCTCTTTTCAGATGTTTACATAGTATATTATCGTTCTTAGAAGTTAATATAGTAGACATGCACAAGGCCTTTAGAGGAGCATTCAAAAGATAAATTTTGTTATATATAGACAGTTACCTTGGCAACTTTCAGATCTTCTAGCATAATTTGTCTGGTGACTTCTAGATGTCGTACTAACCACATCTTATTACCACTTCTATCCTCCATCTGATTCCCCTCTATCCTACATTCAAATATAAAAAAAATAAAAATGTTCATGATCTGCTTTCAAAAAAAAAATTGTGGCAAATTTTGCAACTGATTAATGGGTCATTTTTCCAATGGAAAATACCCATTGAATTTTTTTTGTCCCAAATTCTCAGCAAATTCTCACTACTAATCTCACATGATTACTGAAGACAAATGTCTATATAAGACTCAATGTCTGAGATCAATTGTCAAGAAGAAATAACATTTAGCCAAAGGATCGAACTTGCCGCACCTGGATTACACCTGGATAACACCTGGATTACACCTGGATTACACCTTGATTACACCTAAATTACACCTTGATTACACCTGGATAACTAGTCAGATGCTTTCCTTGTTGAGCTAAATAGGCAGAGTTTTCATTTACAGATAAAGGTTTTGCTATTCATATACAGTGTACATGTATTTCCTATCTCAATGATTTACAACAATTCTGTTCACAAGTTAAAATTGTCTCTTCTGTCTATGTCAAAAATAAAGAAAATACAGAAAACAAAATATAAATCAACTAACCTATTAGAGATCCATTCCTCAATCACACTGAAACATTTATCTCGCCATCGTTTTGGTCGATCAGGGGGCATAAATCCTGTCTGCTCCTTACGTGTTAGTGATAGTTGATCTAACCTGGAGATAAATATAAATCATTGCGTTAATATGAATGAAACAAAATCATCAGACATTGTATCAGAAGTGTCTTGATCGGAAACTTGTTGTTTGCTTGGATGAAACTAACCGTGATTGCTTGGTATTCTGGCCGTCTGTATCAAAACCTTTACACTCCAAATACATATAGTAGTGTTATAAATATGCTTTTATCGTATATATATTTGTAGTTTGTCAATACAATCAGTCATAAAATAATGAAAGTAGTTGGAGCAATATTATACGAAATAATATGAAATCACTACCAGCAATGACATATTAGATTACACTTTTATGCAAATGAATAATGATTTTTGTTAGTCAATTATGTTTATGTTATACATATAGTATATAAGGCAGTTTTTATCAGGAATATGATCAATATTCACACTGCATAGATGTGATAAGGAATCCTTTTGTTTTATTCCTAATCAAATTTAAATTTCAAATCATATGTTACATCATAACATAATGACATTCATCACCAACGTCGTACTCTATTTATTATTGTACACAATAGAGATATTCTACATGTCAACTGAAGATTTGTCCAAGTATTACATAAGGCATATGTAGCAATATACAAAATATAAGTACATTATAAAATTAACAAAAATTCAGAGATTAAAGAAATCCCTTAAGAACACCCACAACAGCATAATTGAAAATGTTGCAGGGTCGGTGGGACTGAGCCTGTTCATAGACTGTGCTGGTAATAGAAAGTTATCGACCAAAATCCCTTTCACTGGCTTAGGTAGGATTTAACAAACCTTTCTTCTCTCTCTATAATACGGAGGGCAGATACTATCAGGGCTGGTTCCCGTCGTACCGACATTAACACACGCTGTAAGATGATCCACAACTGTTTCCCTAGAGTGACGGACAATTTCTCCACTTGTGCAAAATATTTCTTCAGTGTCTGTATGATATAATCAAAAAATATAAAATGAGTCGCGTCACGTCAAAACCAACATAATGGGTTTGCGACCAGCTTGGATCCAGACCAGCCTGCGCATCCGAGCAGTCTGATCAGGATCCATGCTGTTCGCTTACAAACCCTATTACAAGTAGAGAAACTGATAGCGAACAGCATGGATCCTGATCAGACTGCGCGGATGCTGGTCGCAAACCCATTATGATGGTTTTGTCGTGACGCGGCTCAAATAGCATTGAAGTAATGGTTTGTTTAGACACATTTATTTTACCTCAAATGTCAAACAAATTTATGCAACTTATAGTCCTGTTATTTGTTATCTTCTTAGCTGATATTAAACTATATGTTTTTTTTTTAACTTTTATATAAAAACCTAAGTAGTCTTACTTATTAGACCTGAGTCAAGATATTGTTTTCTTTTTTTGTAAATGGGAAATATTGACCCCACCTCCTAAAGCAGGTAATAACACCATCTCTTTCATGGAGATCCTGAGCCAAAATAAAAGTACATGTATTTCAGAATCTACTCAATTTTGTTTGAAATCATTTTAACACATTATCTGAACCAAACATGTCCGTACAATATGAATATTTCAAGATTATTGTGACATTATACTTACATAATTATAATATCACACATAATCAAAAAAAGTTTCTACAACAATAATTTTATAATTCTACATTTTAATGCAGTATCAACTTACATTATCATCTGTAGGACTCCTCTGAGGTTGTTTATGAAGCTCAAACAATAAATCATCTCTAGCTGTCTCCAGCTCTGTAAGACTGATAATTATATTCATGTTAATACAAGATAAACTCGAGCAATGATATGTTAATACAAGATAAACTCGAGCAATGATAGGTTAATACAAGATAAATTCAAGCAATGATAAGTTAATACAAGATAAACTCAAGCAATGATAAATAATACAAGATAAACTCAAGCAATGATAACTAATACAAGATAAATTCCAGCAATGATAAGTTAATACAAGATAAACTGCAGCAAATATCATTTAATACAAGATAAAATAGAAGCAAATACAAGATAAACTCTTGCAATGATAAGTTAATACAAGATAAAAACAGAAGTAAATACAAGATAAAAATAGCAATGATAACTTATTACAATATTAACCCTAAAAATGTTAAATATTGACCCAATTTTACATTCATACAACTGAACAGTAACATAAGCATTTTAGCAATGATTAGTTCATACAAAATTAAACCTAAACACGATTATGTTAGTACAAAACAAGATAAACCCTACAAATGATATATTAATACAAAATTTAAAATAGGAATAGAAGTTTATACAAAATAACCCAAGACAAGGTAAGTTAATACAGATAAACCTCGGCAATGTGAAGTTCATACAATATTTATCCTAGAAATTGTGAGTTAATACAAATATCAACCACATAAATGTTAAGTTAAATTTAAAAAAAAAAAAAAAAGTCTAGTAATGATAATTTATTACAATTTTTACCTTAACACTGTTTAGTTAATAAAAAAGAAACCCTAGCAATGGTAAGTTAATACAAATATTAATCATATAGATAAGCTAATACAAGATAAAGCCTAGCAATGATAAGTTTATACAATATTAAACCTAAAACATTGTCAGACAATGTATCCAAAGTTCATAATACTGATGCTAATTTAACTTGGAAAGTGCATAATGTTTATGAAAGAGCACGAACAGGCACCTGAGTAAATACCACAGACTTTCCATATGCTAGCTGGATAGCTTCTTCACATTAAAGAATCCAAAGTCCCTATCAGGATTTAAACCCACAGCGGTAAGGAGCAAGTGGATTGAAGTAAGTGACCGTACCCACTCAGTATTAATGTACCAGTACTTTAAAAACCATCAAATGTAACCAGAGACTTACTGTTTATGAGCAAGAAGTAGTTTTCCTTCACTGATAAGATCTTCTGTTTTACTCACACTTTCTGGTACAGTAAATATGTGTTTTAAATTCTCCATAGCTGTAGCTAACTGTAACACAAAAACAAACTTTTGGAAAACAGGATGTAAAAGTACATGTATCATCAAATGAACCTCATCTGACCAATATGGTCCACAACTAACGACATGCTTTGCCGATTTTTAAAGTGATGTAATGGAAATGATGTCATAAGATAAAACAATAATTTAAGTGCAAAAAAATACTTTGTTGTTTGTGATATCAAATAACAATTGTCATCAAACTAACATTGTGTCCTTGCCTATATGGCAGCCACCAATTCAAAGCTCTTCTAAAATGTCTGAACAGACACTACCCTGTTGGTTATTCAATTTAAATACACTGATAAATTATTTAAATTAACAATAAATAGAAACTTTAGCAAATCCAAACCTAGTCAAAGTTCAATGTACAAGATCAGGAGATAAAAGGTTTTAGCAGCTTACCAAAATATGATCATAAAAAATATAATATAATTACATGAATAATGTAATTTTGAAAAAAATTCTTACAGAAAAGATGATGATTTCATGATTCATCTGACTGAAGAAATTATTGGTTACTATAGATAACATAGAGATAATCAGAATGTGCAGATTCTGAATTAATTCTCAATTTAATGGTAATTTGAAAAATATATTTTTGAAAATTACTATAAGTTAATTAATGTACTGTGTTTATAATGTTTGAAATTGTTATAGCATGTTTTGCCATTGACAGTCCTACATGATATTATTGAGTGAGGGTTGTATTTCTTTTTTCAGGTATGCCAAATTTTTAAAACGTTTTTAACGGATACATTAATATACCATTTTATCCTGTCACTTGTATCAATTTCGGCCCGACAACAAGGTGCCGTATATTTTTACTGATCTACGGCACTTGATCACGTGGTATGCATGTTTGCCGGACTACTTTTCAAGAAAAAATATAAAAACTGTCGTTAAATCTTCTGTGTGTAGAATAACGAATTTTGGGTAAACGTTGATAAAACTTTGTTTGTTTATTTTATTTCACTCTATAATTTTTCAAGCGAAATAAAAATTATTAAAATTTTTATTAAAAGTGAAATAAAACGTAAAACTTAACTCGTTTGCCCGACATTAAAAATAGCGTAATTGATTTGATTGTTTTGCACGTGCTGTTTGGCGCTACATTGTGACGTCACGTAAACAATACTTTAAACGTCTGTACAGCGTTAACGACTAAATAAAAGATATTGGTGTTCGAATTCATTTTCTTAGTTAGACCATTTTCTTTCATTCTAGATAGTTTTCACAACAAAATTCGACAAAAAATTGTTTTTTTTTATCACATTTTTTCAAACAAAATGGCGCCCTCAATGTGAAAATACACAGGGAGATAATAAGAACGGCGAGTGCATTGTTGTAGAATAATGCACGCTTCGGGCCTTCTTTGTTTATATAGAAACATTTCCGATAGTGTGATTAAAGCTAGTTTGCCTAATAAATTCTTTAAAAAAAACGGTGACAGGATAAATAGAATAATAGATTGGTGCCGTGGATGGAGAAAGTTTATCTGGCTCTGCTCCGGAATTTATTGGGTTCGCCTTCGGCTCACCGAATAAATTCCTCCGCCTCGCCAGATAAACTTTCTCCATCCACGGCACTAACCTATTATTCTCTATATTATAATCGTGTACATTGTATCAAAGGGAAATAACTCTATACCTGACAGAAATTTTTGTTTTCCTCTCTGACAGTAGTTATCTTCTCTTGTAATGGTTTCAGAGACTTGTATATCTCATCTACTTGGTCTAAACTAAAAATTAAAATTGAAATATATCAACAAATAATTTTAATACAAGGATAACAGTATCAACCGATATCTTTGCCTCCTAGCAGCTACAGGTTCTAGTCATCTGACCAGTGCAGACCAAGATCATGCTTAAACTATGATACTACTAATTATACAAATGTACATGTATCATGCAACTAAAATTCAAAGCAACATTTCTCTCCCTTTCAATATTCTAAAAAGATCCTGCCATCATTTATCTAACTTTATAATTGCAACTATAATATTAGCCTACCTTAACTAACAAGAGTCCACTCACATATTCCTCTACAGTTTTTTGATGAAGATGAAGACAACAGTCGAAACTAGTAAAGATTTTTTTTTAAAAAAATATGTGTTGTTTTGGTGTATTTTAACTGATCTACAGTTTTTTAAAATAGTTACAGGAAAAATTAACTCCCCTTAATACTAATGAAATATAATCAAGAGTTACCTTTCTTTGATTTCATGCACATCATGAAGGGCACTCTGTAATTGATTGAGACCTGTTCTAACACCATCTAATTGTGATTGAACTGCTGTCTTCAACATGGCCTCTACTGAAGCCTACAATCAACAGATATCATTTTAGTAAATAGCTGTAAAAAAAAGCAATTACAAGATACAATGAATTAACCTATAGCTCTTCAGCGCTTCTTATGTAAAATTCTTCCAAGTATAATTTCCAATAACCGTAAATTATACCATACCCAGACTATGGTATAATTTTCAGTTTTGAAGATCGAAGGAGTAAGTGTTTCTGGGCGGAGCTATAGGTTAAAACAGATACACCATTGGTGCGTTGACGATTTCTGGGTTTGCGTAAATTATACCATAATCACGTGACCTTTCTTATGCAACCTCCCTCCACTTCGTCTCATGAGGCATAAGAAAGGTCACGTGATTATGGTATAATTTACGCAAACCCAGAAATCGTCAACGCAGCAATGGTATATCTATTACAGTACATAGTTTTTTTTTTCAAAGAAAAGTTTTTTTTTAAAAAAAACATAAACAACTGTAATTATGGGAAATCTTCATACTTAACATGTAAAGTGAGTTTACAAATGGCATATTACATACTCCTGTTGTTATAATTTACAACAGTGTGCATACATGTATATTCTTAATAATAATGATTATCTTATGGAATGTCGGTGTTTCTCCTCAGGTGCCCCTTTACACTGAAATAATGCTTGGAGGTCTACACATGCCTACACATGTCTAAAATAATGCATGGAGTCATTTGAGTGGTTACTTCACCAACCAAGCTGGAAAGTCACCATGTCACCTTAACAGTGTCTGTGTCACTGAAAACTAATTAAACAAAGGTGAATATAAAAACCAAATTACAAACAAATTAATTAAACTGACTGTATAAAGTTAAATGAGACATAAAAACCTTTTTCCTAGCAACTCTCCTCCTATATTGGTCAACTCGCTCTAGCTGGTCTGGTCTCTGTTAAAATAAAGCAAGTACATGTAGTTATCAGAGCTTTACAAGTAATGTGATGTTTGTGAATCTTATGCTTAAAACTTCTGAATTTTATAGTTTTTCTTCCCAATTATCTAATCAAGTTGATTAAATACCGACAGATTCCTACTTTTGGATATTTTGACAAATTGTAAGTAAATTTTTAGGAAATTACGTGCATTAGTTAATCTTAAATCACTTTATTTCTCAAAAAATCTTATCACAGTAAGTTCTCAATGATAATGTCGGCCACATGTTGCGGTTTTTAATTAAAATATCCATCCTGATGTACGGCTGCGCATTGGTGAGTACCCAAGGAATCAATTTTACAATGCAAACAGCAAACTTGCATAGTCTACACCATCTTAAAATGGTTTACCTCAAAAAATCTATTTGATAATTTCATGTCACTTCAACTGTCACTATTTTCTTAAAGTAGCATACAAATTTACAACTTTATTTATAACTTTATTTATAACGGCATCTATGATATCATCATCATGCACTGAAATGATGTAATTTTACAGCATGCATCCCATCTGGTATCCTCAATGCTAGATGAAAGTTCTAACATGGGTAAAACTAATGGAAACACCAGTCTCATATGAAAGAAAATACATACCTGTAACAGATTGGCCACATACTTGGTCGCCGCCAGTTTAGCTTCAGTCTCTAGCCTACCTAGATCTAAAGGTGCTTGAGGTGTTAAAGTTGACTCGGACATTATTTCTATGATCTAATTAAACTCCTTTAATACCTGTAAAAATAAATTTGGAAAGTTTGAAATGTTTCTATAAGACTAAGTTCAATGTACAAAATTTCTTGCTTTTAAATAAAACATGCATGGATAGGCTTAGACTTTTGCAAAATGTTTTGGGTGAATTTTCCCAATTTCTAGACATTTAATCAATATTATTTTGGAATCTCCAATCTAAATTTAGCATTTGCTAATAACTATTTTTAAGAATGGGAAAGTACACATTTAGTTTTCCATCTACAACTTCCGTTTCATCACTTTTTATCTCAAAACAAACAACACAGTCTACTTTTTGTTGGTCATTGACTGGTTTATATTTGTAACTTCCCTTTCAAATGAAATATCAATATTACCAAATTTAAGTTTTGTCTAAAGCTTTCACAGAAGCATTCATTTACAAATGGCATATGACTGTCAAATATTTAAGAAAGATTCAGCCAAGAAGCATAATACATTGTACAAAATAAAATGCCTTTATGTTTTTTTTACTGATTACTGTACACTTAAATGAATAGTACACATATGTGATTTTTTTTCCTGAGTCATCTTAGTTTAGAATTCTTCAATACTCTTTTCTTCATTCTTCTTACTTTCAAACATGTTTCTTTTTATAATTTCAGAAACAGATAATCTTCAAGTCAAATCTTTGCCATTAACCAACTTGGATGCAGTCTGACTGACTGACGTCCGTTTCATGAACTTATGATGCTAAAGTGCAATGCTAAAATATGATAAAGTGATGAGACAGTAACTAAAAGTGTGTTAAATTGATGACTGTTGATAAGCTGGAAATCCTTTGTGTATATAATGTATATATTAAATGGCATTAAGAAAGTTTTGTTTATAGTTATACATTGAATGTAATCAATTATCAATCAATTACTTTCTTAAAGTAATTGTAATTTAATTGATTACAGAGGCAAGTCTGAGTAATCAATTGTAATCAATTACAATAAAATCTGAAAGTAATTGTAATTAAATCAATTACTGATCAATGTAATCATCCCCAGGTCTGTAACCAAGTAAGCTGAAGCAGCACAATGGAAATGGTTCTGCTGTCACTGTCATGCCACTGACTTAGATTTTATGGGAACCTTGCTGCCAAACATAGCCTGGCAAATGTTATAGTTTAATACTGAGCTGAAAGCTTTTTTCAGGACTACTGACTTTAAATTATATATGTTAAATGTGTTAATAACACATTTAACATATATAATTTAAAGTCAGTAGTTAATGTGATACAAATGTAGCTACCAAAATAAAGTTGGTTAAAGTTTATGTTTTTCTAAGTATCTCATGCCATACCATTGCCTTATTTGAAAATAAAATACGGGCAGCCGCAAGAAATTTTCGCCACGAAAAATAAGTGCCTAAAAGAAAAAATGCCAGTTCTAGCCCCGAATAAGTCAAAATTCTCAATTTTTTGAAATGTGTATCGATTATTGATTGACAGAAAAATATTAATGATACATCAATATTGTTTCTATCGATGACATGACACTACATGACACTTCAACCCTTCAATTTTGAAAACATTATTATGCCTCCAGACACTTCACACGAATATCAGACCCCAAAATTGGTAAGATATTTCACCACTCATCTGTTGTTTTTTTTCTGCTAGTGTAAACTTATAAAAAGCATTGTAAATCAACAATTAACATTGATTGCATTAAATTTTAACATTTTTCATCTCCATTTGTCTAAAAAATTTGTTTGTTTGTTTGTTTTGGGTTTTTACGTCACTTTGACACAGTATAGGTCATATCGAGACGTTCCAGCTTTACTGGTGGAGGAAGACCTCAGGTGCCCTTCCGTGCATTATTTCAGGCACGAACGGGCACCTGAGTAGAACCACCGACGTTCCGTAAGCTAGCTGGATAGCTTCCTCACATGAAAGAATCCAAAGTCCCTGTCGGGATTCGAACCCACAGCGGTGATCAAATTTCATAGAAAATTGGTAGAGGAAGTGAAGTGAATCTGATTTCATAAAAAGAGGGTCGAAGAGACTGCAGGGTAGAATATGGCTCAGTAAAGTGTTTGAATGGTAAACTTGTGTCTGTAAAATCGTTGCTTAAATTCTACTAATACAACTCAGTACTGAAATTAACCATGCAAACAGTGCATAAGAAGATCATCCACAAGCTTTTGACATGTGACACAAATTATTATAAAACGCTTAACTGTTTTATGTCAACAACACAAAATGTACATGTACATGTATGTCTAATTGACTAAAACATAAATAATGCTGGGTACAAGTATATAGAATTTAGTAGACAATTGCATGGTAACTGTAGTAGTGCTACATGTACCTACGGTCAATTATTCTTCCTTCTCATGAGAAGTACTATATGTTTGATGAAGCTCACAGAGAGGTGACAATATTTAAACTTCACCAAGAAATCCAAAGCATTGAGAATGTATATGGAGAGCACCATTTTTTTTCTATGAACAGCGCCATTTTGATATCAAGAAGTTTTACTTTTAGTTTAGAGGTAAACACAGTTACTAGCAGCAGACGACATAAAACAGTATAATTGTGATCATTGAACAAAAGAAGCAAAGTTTAGAAAAAAATGGCAAATATGTTATTACTCATCACACATTGTATCTTAAAATGTTCTATTAAACTATTATATAAATGTCATTTTGCGAGTTTAATTTATTCCTTTATTTTCTGTAAATACACAGTGCTCTCCCTTCGAATCGGACGAGTCTATTAGCTTATTGCATCTATTTCAAGTTTAAATTGTCCAGTCAGTTATTGCCCGTTTCTATCAAGTCATACCAATTGATACTGCTTAACAGTCCTTAACAGTCCTTAAGTCCAAGTATCACCGTCCCGGGCTTTGGCTTGTCCGGCTATAGACTACAGATGTATATGTATTAAAAAGAAAATCAAATAAAAAACAAATAAAAAATATATAGAATTCTATACCTATCAATGAAATTTTCAGTGTCAATTCTAGTCAGGCACCGCCATTTACAATGTAGCTCAATAATAATTGACGAGTGAAAACAGAAACGATGCATGAAATACCAAATGACAAAATTAAAACGGAACAATGAAAGGAATTTTTTGACGACTTTCTCGTACATAGGCTTGCCTTATTTTATATTAGCCGAAGATGTTCAGATTGACATTGTAAACAATTTATTTATCAACTACGAAAATCAATCTCTTGCTTCAATTTTTAAAAGGAAGTGGCTAGCCGTACTTAAGGCTAATTAATTGATTGTGCTTTTATGTTCGATTTTTATCTTCTGTATTTGAAAATTATACAATTATTTTTGCTTATCACAGTTTTCTTTTTCAATGTTCTTTTTATTTATTTATTTATTCCACTCCGACCAATATTTATTTGATCCATGTGCTTAATTAACAATAATGATTTAATAATTCATCTTTCATACAAATGAAACAACAAATGATAAGCATGAAAATCAACGACGGTATAACTTATAACATGCAACTTTGACACTTTTATCAAGATAGATTATACAACGCTTACAAGTTCGTATTCATTTTTTTACAAAATGACGGAGCATCTTTATTAAAGTGAACATGAGGACAAATTTATGCAGAGACTTGATTAAAATCCTTGTTTAAAGACACAAAATAACATATGCATATAATTTTGAAAAGTGCCGTACGGTTAGACAATACAGTGCATCCTGACTAGTTGTACGTGACTCACGTACGGCTAGAACTTTTGGCAAGCCGTACAGGCCCGTACGGCTAACAACCATTTCCTTTTTAAAAATACATACCTTGTGATACCTTGTGATGTTTAGGAAACTTTATTAGTCCCCTAACGGACTATCATTCCCCTCAAGTTTGCCCTAAAAGGAACTTTGGTAAGCTAAACTTGTGGTATGAACGATTCACAGCATTAAGCTTACTTATAAAAAGTGACATGTACAATGAGGTCGACTAATTTAGTGTACGAATAATATTGGTTTTACCCCACCCATCTAATTTACTACAACGGTAAAACACAACGTTGTCGACCATTGTTAAATTATCAGTTTGATAGTAAGAATTACATTTGTAACCACAATGATAATGTCAGTTTTCATTAATGATCTGCAAGTTTTATATCATATTTGGTAAATACGCTTAGAGCTTAGAAAAACATTTTACGTTACGTATGTTTACATTCAGGAAGCCGCCATTTAACCACGCCCACTCTCGCATCAAGCGAGATTTTCTTACTGTGACGTCACAGAAATAACGTTCCGTGACGCCATTGGAGACGAGGTCTAGACGTTGTTGGTTAACGCACGAGGTATTAAGCGGAAAAAAATGGTAATAAACTCACGTTATTGCGGTATTTATTTTAAGATGATGATATCATTATGTTAAAACGTTCTGTCCCGCCATATAACGTCAATTCTACTTTCGGTTTACATTGTTTACAAAGCTTGCAGTCGTGTCCTAATTTTCGAGCCAAATTCGGCATAAATTAGCCTTCTCTTTAACTTCGAGCTTTTGTTACAGAAAGATTTGATATATCAAGGTATAAGGGAGTAAATGACATTGTCTATATAGTTGTTAAAGTTGTCTGAAATGGTTTAAAAGTGACCTTATTAGGTTTGTTATGATCAATATATAGATAGGCATGTAAGAAAAGAAGCTGGTGCAGCCTGAGGAGATGTGAAATGAACCGATTTTTTAAAAAGCTTTCTTAAGTAGTGTCTTGTTAAATACAATACTTTGTTTTTATAGATCTACTGATTTTGACTTTAATTATATGTAGACAATATTTCTTATATAATTTGAAGAATCCATACTTAAGTAAATACTAAATTGTGTACTCCTCTTTTATATAGATCTATAATTTGTTTTTTAAAAATTGGATTTGTTATCAAATGCCAAACAATCAAACAAAATAATAGAAGGCCTGATTAATGTAGTGTGAATCATCTGACATTTTTTATCTTTTTTTTCTGTTTGTGTTAAACGTACCAATTATAGACTCCTACTTATATAACAGACTGCGATAAAGGGCCTTTGCCCAATTGAAATTTTCTTTAAAATCATGCAGTTTTCCCACAAATCTGAACTTAAACCTGCTTTTTTTCTTCTAGATAATTTTCCCCAAAATCAAGAGGCTAAGGCCTCTTCCCAATTAAGCGAGAAAAATCACTGCTGGAGATTTTTTCCACATTACCAAATTGTTTATTGTGAAAATTATTGAAAAATACAAATACACTGTCAAAACTATTTTTGATAAGGTTATAGGGTCCTTGGTCCAGCTTATTTGGGAAGAAATGAATGACGTATTTTAAGTATTATAAGCCTAAAGTGGGAATTAAAAAAATTGTTTTATTTATCTTTAGCATTTAATTGACTTAGAATTTAGAGATTCGGTTGTGAGTAGGTTTATATATAATTATACATATATAATGTTTGCTTTTTGTGTGTTGAGCTAAGGGTTTTAAGGTCACCCCCCCCCCCCAAAAAAAAAAAGATTTTCAGACTGAATATAATACAGTATATTTAAAGCCTAAATTGGGTGTTAACTGTAAAATATTTATTTGTTGTTATGAACTTTAATCTTTCATGTTATACTGTTCAAATGTTCAAAATATACTAAAATTAAATTGCCAGGAGTTACCAATTTTATCAAAATTACTAAAAATAAAGTAATTAACAAATAAAATGTGTAATTCTGTTATGGAAATATTTACTCTAGAAAAAATAAGGGTTGAGGGATGAAGTGTCTTACTGATTACCAATAAAGAATTCTATTGAACATTGTAAACACTAAAAGATGAAATTCATGGACCTTTCCGGTTTTTCGTAGCGGAACATTTAGCCACACCTTTTCCATTCATTGCTAGGTCAACTGCTCACAAACAGTATCACAAACATTAGCATGATTGTGCTCTTTTGTGCAAACCAGGTCAACCAGTGACTATGTATTATCTCAGTGTAGCGATTGGATAACAAGCCAATTTACATAAAACTGTAAACACCGGAAAGGTCCATTGGTTATATGTTGTAAGGTGTCACAGTGTGAAATAAAATTCTTTATTAGTCAATTGGATATTGTTTTGTGACTGTAGGTAATGCAAACAGTATGAATAGCAACAAATTAAATTTGAAATTTCATACTCAGGGGATCACTTTATTATCAATGCTGACATGATGTGAAAGTAATGAATAATCATATGATCCATTAAAGAGTAAGTTTTGAAAATTTTGTTAAAAAAAGAAGCCTAAACTTGTTTGATTATTTTATCATTTCCTGATTTTCAGGATGTTTACAAGAGGAAGATATTTCACTAATTGCTGTTTAGTGTATTTGGACAGTCATCTAGGTATGCATTACATGTTATTTGATTATTTAACAAATCATTAAGTTTCAACCTGTACCTACTGGAATCAAAAGCCATTAACCTTAATACTCACTTATAATGTGCAGTCTGGCCAGGCTCTATACCAATCAACAGTTGGTTAAGGTCATGTTTTGTATTATAATGTTGAAATCCCTTTATCTGCAAGAGGACTGTCACAAATTCTAACATGGCAAATCCATCAGTTTAGTAGGTTAAAGATTAATGTTTATGGTCATTAATGTTCTTCAACCTGTAACATTGGAGTTAGCATTTTAATGTGTATAATATATATATTAAGTGACTCTCTTCTATCTTCCAAATATTTAATAATCTTTTCTTTTTTTTCCAGATTATTTATACACAGGACACAAATGTACAAGAATTAGATATAAAAAACAGCATAAACAATGGATATAGACCCGGATGCAGAAACTATTAACATCACAAGTGGAGTTTTACATGCTGTTTTACACAGACACAGATTTATCTGTCCCGGAATCAATCGAGAATGCATCGAGTTCCAAGGACAGTTCATTACCCCAAAGACATTCTATGTAATGGCTGACAAAGGCAGTCTGAAAGACTGGAAAAATGCAATTAGAATAAATGGAAAGAAAATCAGGTACAATTTATTTGGCAGATTTTAATTCATATTTCCTATCCAATGGAATAAATGTTCCTCACTAGAGTATGTTAAAATTCATTGTAATTCTCTGATTTTGTGTCACTTAGATTGTCTTCAGAATTAAAATCATGATAAGGTCCTTTTGCTAAACTGTACAGATTTCTAAGTGGATGATTTTTTTAACCATTAACTTTTTGTTACAAGAGCCCATGATTTTGAATGGAGAAATATTTGCTTCAAGTTACCATCAGAAATCTGTGAAGATTTAACAAAAACCTGTAAACATTTAAATAGTATGTTTTATAAATGGCCACAAGTTTAATGATTGACTGATCTCAGGGAAAATTTTCAAAAGATTTTCTTGAGTTTTTGTTGATATGGAAAATGCTTATATCTTGCTACTATTTTATTCCAAAAAAAATCATTGGTAAAGTGAATTTGGAAATAAATTTTTATTAAACATTGCCTGTATTTTCAGACGCTACTTGGACACTGGTGAGTTAGAATTCTACAACCATGCCGAGCTGTGTACAGGGCGATGTAAGTCCAAGATGGGCAACAAAACAGCAGCAAACATCAGTGTTACTGATTCATTAAACTCTTCATTATTATCACCGGCCCTCAGCAAAAGAACAACGTCCAATGGACTGAAATCCAGTGTTTTCTTCGACAATGAGCAATACTCTTCTAATGTAAGCCTTAGAAAGATACAATTCTTTCATTTCTGTGTATTTACTTATTTTCTTATGTATATAATTTGCCCATATTGTGATGCACCTAGCAAAGTAAGTTGTTATTCTTCAGGTTGGGCATCACACAGCAGTTGCTGGTTTCAGAGGCGACTCAGGTGCTTTCATATGATCACTGATATATTTTTATATAACTCAGGTCTAAGGTCTCATTCAAAAGATCATAAGTATCGTTGGTCAATCAAGGATTGAGAAATAGAGCCTGAGACACCTCGTTAACTTGTCAAGTGAACCATAAAACTGCTCTTTGGACGATAAATATACAATAAATATTATTCTATCTGTTTTTAGCTCACCTGTCACAAAGTGACAGGGTGAGCTTTTGTGATCGCTTTTCGTCCGGCGTCCGTCCGTCCGTCCGGCGTCCGTCCATAAACTTTTGCTTTAAATGACATCTCCTCATAAACCACGGAGCCAATTTCATCCAAACTTCACAGGAATGTTCCTTTGGTGGTCACCTTTAAAAAATGTTCAAAGAATTTAATTCCATGCAGAACTCTGGTTGCCATGGCAACCGAAAGAAAAATCTTTAAATATCTTCTTTTAAACAACCCTAAGAGCTAGAGCTTAGATATTTGGCATGAAACATCTTCTAGTGAGTGTCTACCAAGTTTGTTCAAATAAAAGCCCTGGGGTCAAAATTGGCCCCGCCCCAGGGGGTCATTGATTTTCCCTATATGCATATAGTAAAAACTTAAAAAATCTTCTTTTAAAGAACCCAAAGAGCTAGAGCTAAGATATTTGGCATGAAACATCTTCTAGTGAGTGTCTACCAAGTTTGTTCAAATAAAAGCCCTGGGGTCAAAATTGGCCCCACCCCGGGGGTCATTGATTTTCCCTATATGCATATAGTAAAAACTTAAAAAAATTTCTTTTAAAGAACCGTAAGAGCTAGAGCTTAGATATTTGGCATGAAACATCTTCTAGTGAGTGTCTACCAAGTTTGTTCAAATGAAAGCCCTGGGGTCAAAATTGGCCCCGTCCCAGGGGGGTCATTGATTTTCCCTATATGCATATAGTAAAAACTTAAAAAATCTTCTTTTAAAGAACCCAAAGAGCTAGAGCTAAGATATTAAGCATGAAACATCTTCTAGTGAGTGTCTACCAAGTTTGTTCAAATTAAAGCCCTGGGGTCAAAATTGGCCCCGCCCCGGGGGGTCATTGATTTTCCCTATATGCATAAAAATCTTCTTTTAAAGAACCATAAGAGCTAGAGCTTAGATAATAGGCATGAAACGTCTTCTAGTGAATGTCTACCAAGTTTGTTCAAATAAAAACCCTGGGGTCAAAATTGACCCCGCCCCAGGGGGTCATAGATTTTCCCTATATGCATATATTAAAAACTTAAAAAATCTTCTTTTAAAGAACCCAAAGAGCTAGAGCTAAGATATTTAGCATGAAACATGTTCTAATGAGTGTCTACCAAGTTTGTTCAAATAAAAGCCCTGGGGTCAAAATTGGCCCCGCCCCAAAAACTTAAAAAATCTTCTTTTAAAGAACTCAAAGAGCTAGAGCTAAGATATTTAGCATGAAACATGTTCTAATGGGTGTCTACCAAGTATGTTCAACTAAAAGCCCTGGGGTCAAAACTGGCCCCGCCCGGGGGGGTCATTGATTTTCCTTATATGTGTATAGCAAAAACTTAAAAATCTTCTTTGAAAAAACCCAAATAGCTAGAGTTTAGATATTAAGCATGAAACATCTTTAAGTAAATATCTACAAAGTTTGTTCAAATAAAAGCCCGGGGGTCAAAACTGGCCCTGCCCCAGGGGTGTCATTGTTTTTAACTATATGTGTATAGTAAAAACTTTAAAAATCTTCTTTTAAAAAACCCAATGAGCTAGAACTTAGATGTTTACCATTAAACATCTTCTTATGGGTGTCTACCAAGTCTGTTCAAATAAACAAATAAAAGCCCTTGGGTAAAAATTGGCCTGGGGGGGGGGGGGCCTATATACAGGTGAGCGACCTCAGGGCCATCATGGCCCTCTTGTTATACCTCGCATAAGTGTAGCGCAAGACTTTCCAGTATTTTTCTTAAATTTGACGAGATTTCTACTATTTTCTGCTCCAATCTTTCATTTTCATTATAAATAATCTGTCAAATTCAAAATGGACAGATTAGAATTCAAAATTCAAGATCACTGTACAAATTGTGTAGGATATTTTTAAAGCTCAACTAATGATCTTTAAATGTAATGCTTAATATAAAATGTTTTGTTGAAAATACAAACTTTGATTTAGAAAAACAAGAGATATAAAAAAAAAATGTTGCTGTGGTAACAGATTATTGTTATTAATTTTTTTGCAGGATTCACTAAACTTGATGAAGGAGGTGGACAGTTTTGGCGATGCTGTGGACGTTAAACCGGATGTGGAACAACTACGGTTGTTAAATGTATTGAACCTGCGTCAGAACAGTGATGGTACTAGTTCATCAGGGGACCAGGCCATGCCAATGCAAATTGTGCAGGTGTCTACCAATGGTCAGGAGGAAGATGATGGTTGGTGTAACATTTGTAAAATAGTTGTTTTTTATCTTTCCAGAAAATGCAGTATACAAATTTCACAGTATGTTTGACTTTTCAAGCTGTCATTGATTCTGTTTAAAGCATATCAACGATATATCAATATCTGATGACAAACATTGTAAAGATACACTGAAATATCAATGATTCAATACTTATAATTAATCACTTATAATTAATTTTCTATAATTCAGAATAATACAGTTACCTGTTTAACTGATTTCAATTAAGTATATCATGTTCTGTACATACAGCTATGATTTTCCGTGTTTATAATGGCCCAGTTTATGATATTTTTCTGATCACTTCTGTTATCAATGTTATGAAGTATGTCCATTTAGTAACAACAGCATAGTTTTAGACATTGGCACCTACCTCTGTATATTTTTTGGGTGAATTTTAATATTTTCTAGACATTTGATTAAGTAGTCAAAATTTACGATTTTTCAAATTTTGATCGACAGGAAAATACTGCTGATAGGGATTAGGGATCTAGGCTCCAGGGATTATAATAATAGTATTAACAGTCTAGAAATTGAATATTGGGAGAAAGGCGTCCGTGGCCGAGTGGTTAAGGTTGTTGACTTCAAACCACTTGTCCCTCACCACTATGGGTTCGAATCCCGACAGGGACTTTGGATTCTTTCATGTGAGGAAGCTATCCAGCTAGCTTACGGAACGTCGGTGGTTCTACTCAGGTGCCTGTCCATGCCTGAAATAATGCAAGGAAGGGCACCTGAGGTCTTCCTCCACCAGTAAAGCTGGAACGGCGCCAAATGACCTATACTGTGTTGGTGTGATGTAAAACCCAATCAAATAAAAAAAGAAGGAATATTGGGAGGCAAGGCTTGTAATATTAACGTTTACTTTATTTTTACAGAAGATGCTATGTTCTGGCGAGCCATTGTTCAGTTAGGTCTGATTGACGAGTTTTTTCGTGAAGTCAAATCCAAGTTGGACGTCCTTAAAGCTAGCATGATCAAAAACTATGTTCCTGTAGGAGGTAATGTTTTATATTTGATACATTGTGAGGTTTGTCCTGGGTTTGAGCTAAGAGCATTAAGCTGTTTGAATTTCTGTAATCAATTTGCCCTACTTTGAATTAGGAACAGATCATTCAAAGTTTAAGGGATTTGAATATCAAAAATGAAAATTTGAGCTGCCAACATTATACAGCTTGGTAAGACTGCAAGGGTGTGTAAAATGAGTTTGGCCTAGCTCTATACCGAGCAAAGGCATGTTGCTTACAGTTTAAAAATATTGATATAAAAAAAAGATAATGAATTTGAAAACAAATTAATTTCTTTTGTTAAGTAGATTTTGGAAGGTGTTGGCAGTTTGTAATATATATTTAGTGATCAGATGATTATAAAGGGAAAATTTTGCTAACAATATATTTATACAGGGTTATACATGATTGCATATAACATATCCGCTATTGATCAGTGAGAAAATTTATTTGCATTATTATTGCACAATAATAAACATGTGTGTGCGTGTGTGTGTGTGTGTGTTTGTTGATATCACATGTACCAGACATTTAGAACTTTTCCACTTGCCCTGATTACTGCAGGTTTGAATCCTGTTAGGGACTTTGAATTCTATCATGTCAGGGAGCTATCCAGCTTTCTTACAGAACATAGATGGTGCTACTTGGGTACTTGTTACTTCCCAAAATAATACACAGAGGGACATCAGAGGTGTTCCTCCAACAGTTAAGCTCGAATGTTATATTTCAGTGTCCATGTTACTTAAAATCCTAAAATTGTTAAGTAAATTCATTATTGAAGGTATATTCATTCACTGTCTTATATTTATGTTTAATTGTAGATGCAAAGAAAGCTTCTAGAATTGTGAATGAGTTGGGGATGAGATCCAAACTAGACATGAGATTATGTGCCCACAAGTTTGAATTTGATAGACAGAGAGATAAACTTGAGAAAGAAATGGAACGTATGTAATTAAGCTGATAATTCACATAAACATTAAATTCTGGTATATGAGAAGATATCCTTATGTTCAACTTATGCATCCATTTGTGCTTGAAATCCTACAAACCTTGGAAGACATCATGTGACCTTCAAAGGGTATCAATTGTCAAGTGGTCAAGGTCATTGAATTCAAGCTACTTGACCATAAACTGCTGTAGGTTTGAATCCCATGGAGGACTTTGAAGTCTTTCATGTCGGGTAGCTAGCTATCCAGCTAGCTTATGGAATGTTGTTGCCCAGTCTTGCTTGAAATAATTCAGACTGAAGTCTACAAGTAAAGCTGGAATGTCTCAATGCAACTTTTACTTTTGCCAGTGTGATTTAACCAGCCCCCACAGTTTGTATGTATCCTGCCACTGACTGGATTCTAGCTAGCTAATATCAGTTGTTGAAGGTCAGTGGTTCTACTCAGGTGCCTGCTGGTGGCTTCAGTAATGTACGCATGATCACCTATTGTTATCCTACCAGAAATAAAGCTGGAAAGTTGCCAGTATGACCTTTATAGTGTTAGAATGACTTAAAACCCTAACAAAACAATGATATTGTGTCCCCAAAATAGTATTTAATTATGTAATCTGAATCTCTGTGTTACAGAATTGAAGAAGAAAGTCAGTGAGTATGAGCAGAGAAAGGAAGTACTCAAGCAGAAAAGTAATACATATGATCAACTGATGACTAAGAAAATCAAGCTGGAGGACATGTCAACAAGTGAAATGCAACCAAAATCTAAAAACTTATTTCTCGAGGGACTGAAACCTGATCTGACCCAGTACGTTGTCCAGCAGTCTCCGAACAATAATATGATAATGATGTTAAATCCTGGTAAACAGTGTAAAGAAGGGTCGCCCAAATTAAATGATACGTCTATTAATGACAGCCAGCATCAGGCAAAACGTGCTCGTATAGAAAGTATTCTCGGTCAGTTTCCGATACATTCAGCCATCGAGCCTGTGGGAGCCTCGACTAGAAGCCAAAAATCAAAATCTGAATCACCAAAGTTATTAGAAGGTACGAAACAGCAAAAGGGGAAGCAAACCAGTCTGGAGGGTATGTCAATTGAGGTAAATAATGAAAATTCGCTCGAATCACTGTCGGGAAGTCCGGCTTCACAAGAAAGTTTTGAGGCCGACCAGTCTGAAGATCATTCATTGGTTACACAGTCACAAGTAAGCTCTCTGGAGACGCTTTCACAGGAGAGTATTTCGGAATCTCCCATATCAACCGAATGATTTAATTTTTTCTTAAAAAAATGGGCCGTGTATGCAATACATTTCATTATTTTGTTCAAATTGTTTCACGTTTATTTTTTTGAATCATCAAATTTATGTTGTTCCAAACTTGTTCACTTGTTTTTATGTGATGTTAAGATGAAACCTCTTTTTGTGTAATTTAAAAAAGATATATTTATTTCATTTCTATTTTGAAATCCTATAGGTAACAATCACTTACATATAAATCCCATTTTTCGGTGAAAATTTATTTTTATTTTTTCACTAATCATGCTAAAGATTTACAGAAATCCAAGTTTTCAAAGCTTTTTTTTGTGTGCTCATGTGCTTAATATTGTTTTAAGAATTGTACTGTGATTACAGTCCTGTATTTAGACTACATTCTTTTTTTAAATTTTGCATAATTGTAAATTCAGCCAGAAATCCTAAAAAGTTGTTTTTAATGCGTTTGCATGCACTCAGTTATATGAAATAGATGAATCTACCAAAAAAAAAATGAAATCCATTTAATTACATTTTGTATTTATATCATGAAAATATGTAAAATTAAGCTCAGATTTGCCATTTGTTGCCAAATGTAAATGAAATTCAGCTTTAAAATTTGTGGTTAAAAAAGTACATAAAAAAACGAAAAACAACTTACATTGTTCATTTAATGTAATAAATATAACATTGTCTACAGTATCTGTGTACATGTTTTGTTTTATATTAAGAAATATATTATGCTTTTGTTAAAGGTTTATTTTTGTGTTGATATTCAGGACAATATGACTTACTATATGTTGTTAAAAAAAATTGTGTGAACTTGACTCTCCACATTAAAAGCTATAGAGTATTGAAAAGTAATTTACCCATACTCTGCGACTGCAGCTGTATCTACTTATGCCACAAGTGGCGACTATGATTACCCAGCATATCCATGTTGTCTGATCATGATCTGCACTGTTCACTTTTCAGTCAGAACTTTTTATCCTAGAATAAAATTGATTTTGTCCAGTTTGAAAGATGGATTTATGTACATTTAAGATATTTAATGTGTGAAGGGTTATATATTATTAAAATCATGCTGTAGCTTGACTACCTTTTGATAAGTAGATTTAGGATCCGAGTTTAACCAGGCTGAATGCATAAAGATTTGAGTATTTACAGTTTGTGTACTAAGAAATAATTGTTTATATGCATTTCATAACTGTTGTGTTATTAGCGAAAAATGGATCTTAATTGATCTAAATTTGTTGTTTTTTTATGCCCACAGATCACTTGATAAAGGATGAGACATATTATTTTTACCTGAATATTTCTCTATCTCTTCACAAACATGTTTTACCTTGCTTGGCAGTAATGTTGTCATTCTATAAGCATGGGCCTGCAACTGCAGAAGATTTTCGATTTTTATTTATTAATAATATGACTATAACCCATAAATGACCTTTGACTTTTTTTTGTCTAATTACCGAAATACATGATACATTTGTATTTCACCATAGCTTTTCATTAGTGATCAGGGTATTTGTGTTTCACAAACACATTTTGTTTTTCTGTAAAAAAAAAGAGAGGTTGATTTTATAGGTGTAAGACTACAAGTGGAATAGTGACATGGCTTTGTTACTAAGAACAAATGCTATAATTTAGTAAGAAAGGGCTGGTTAATGAATAAAGTTATAATAGCCCTGTGAAATTAATTACACCCATCTTGTTTTGTTCGTTTTAATAATCATACCATACATATTCTTGTTTGTTTGTTCTTGTTCTTTGTTGTTTTTTTTACACAGACTTTTCACTCACAAACAGGCCCAATCAAATTGAGCCTACAACATTTTCAATTTAGCAATGTTTAGCAACCTTTAAGGTTTCTTATTTAGATACTACTGGTGCTTTATTGTTATATATAATTATATCTCTTTTTATTTTGTATGAGTTTTAACTATTTTTTGCATAGATATGATAAATTAAAGTCATAATAATTGTTCATTGTGGGAAAAAGGTAAAGAAACTTGACATGCTTTCTTAGGGTTTGGGCAAGTTGAACAAATTAAAAGAAAGATTTATTACAAGTTAACTATAGAATTTAACTGTGATCTTTGTTTTGGAAAATATTTAAAGTTATACAAGTTGTTGATAGGATATACAATCTAAATGAGATAAATATGACCCGAGGAACTGGCAAATCAAAATTCGGGACATTTATTTGTGCTGTTATAACATATAGGAAAGTATTAATTTTCTATGGCTAAATCTTGATTTTAAAGTCAAATAAAACATGCAATATCTAGCTTATTTTGTCAGTACCATTTTCTTAAATACAAACACAATTGACCTTTTGTTTTCAGTTTATAGAAATGTGTCCAAACTATGTTATACAAAAAACAAAGTTTATGAAATTGTTCATATTAAGCTCAGGATTCAACCGTCTGAACGCTAGATAATCTGTATTAAAGTCTGGCCAGCCTGCTTGTCCAACAACTTGATCTTCTCTGCTGTGTGTTCGAATTCTTTCTGGGGCTTTGGATTCTTTCAGTGATTCTACTCAAATGTTGCATAAAATAATACACACCTGATGTCTGATGAAACCCATCACTACTAGAGCCTTTAATGATTTATGTTTAATTTTTATTTGTGTCTTGTATATTGTAATATTCTAAAGAAGCAATGGAAGCCTCCACATTTTAAGTAGTTGAAGTTCATCACATGAATCAGGAGGGCAATATAGACAGTTGTCATCTTAAGCCAGTCAAGCAGTTAATATGTAACATTTATGGAATATATGTCAGACATGAATTATATTGTTATAATAAATTGTTAGTTATATGATACATTATGTATGTCAATGATCAAAGATTTGCTGAATCATATACTTAGATTTTTAAAATTGATATTTGTACAACTAAGGATCGACTGCAAAACTGTTGTAAGTCCTTGATATCATAGATATAAGTTACGGCTGTTTTGCAGTCAACCCTCGAATTTGGTTAATTGCTTTTTAGCTCGACTATTCGATAAGAATAAGTAGAGCTATTGTAGTCACCCGATCGTCGGCGTCGGTGTTGGGGTCGGCGTAACCACTTATGTTAAAGTTTTTGTAATAGTTCAAATATTTTCAAAGTCCATTGACATATGGCTTTGAAACTTTGCACACTTGTTCACCATCATGACCCAACCTGTAGACAGGAGGAGGGAACTGTATCAAGCATTTTGACAGAATTATGCCCCTTTTTCGACTTAGAATTTACGTTAAGGTTTCTGTAATACCTCAAATATTTTCAAAGTCCATGGACATATGGCTTTGAAACTTTGCACACTTGTTCACCATCATCACCCCAACCTGTAAACTGGAGGAGGTAACTGTATCAAGCATTTTGTTTTTACTATCAAGCACTAAGAATAGTCGAGCGTTGCTGTCCTACCGACAGCTCTTGTTGTTATTCAAGATTCTGATATTCAGATGTTTTTGTGCACATCTGTTATCAACTTATCCAACATAATTTTGGGATTGGAAACCCAAAGCTTTTGCAGAATGTAGAGTTAGATTTAGCATAAGAGATTTGATAAAAGTTGAAAGATACTTGTTTGAAAATGTGAATGATGAACTTTGTTGTTCAAGTTTTGTATTATTGAAGGTTAAAGGGTTCAAAAAAGCAATTGTGCTGTTTTAACTTTTTGACCTGCTTCAGCAAGTTAAATGTCAGTGTATAATTACTTTCATAGTTTGTACACGTTTTAAAAAATGTAATAATTAATGTGGAACCAAATTCTAAGGTGTAAGATGCTAAGGTATGAAGAGGTATTGTAAGCATTGTAAAATAGCACTGATGGAAGCTGTTGGACAAATATTGATGGCAAAACATCATTCTTAGTTGAAAAAAATGTGAAAATAACGTCAGGAAAGCCATTGTATGCAGGTTCAAGAGGACTTATTCTTAGTTTCATACTTGTAATGAAACGTGGTTTACATTATTTTCAGTAAACATTTCCATTATACCATTATGTATTAATATTGAACTGTTAGTTAACACTTTCCGTTTTGGATTCTGTCTTTATTACAAAATGTGTCACTTTCTTGGTTGAACTTGAAATAGAACAACTGACAACAAATCCATTCCAATTATGTATAGTTATCAACACCTGTTTAAAAGTTGGACCAATGTGTTATTTTCTTTCAGTTTATGTGCATAATTATGAATGTTTTGAAATCCTTGCAATTTCTGCAGAAGAACTGTATTCAGTTTTATTTATGTAAAAATAGTATCAATAAAATTGACAATTTGATGCTAATTTTGTTCTTGTCATTTTGTAATTGATTGTTAATTCATTATACTAATCAGCATAATACAGTATAGGTATATCTCTGCATTCACACAACAATATTATTGTGGATAGGCCAGAATAACAAGGTGTCTCCAAAATGCCCTTATATTATTATCTAATTATACAGGTAAAAGAACCAGCTATCCAGTTCCATTTTTGTGTCATCCAACAAAAACACACTACCCGGCAATGATAGCAAAATGCTTGTACTATTGTTTACTTTGTAATCCGTTGTAACATTTGTTTACAACTTTAAGTTACAATTGTTTACAGTAATCTACTGCAACAATTGTTAGCTCACCTGTCACAAAGTGACAGGGTGAGCTTTTGTGATCGCTTTTCGTCCGGCGTCCGTCCGTAAACTTTTACTTTAAATGACATCTTCTAATAAATCACTAAGCCAATTTCATCCAAACTTCACAGGAATGTTCCTTTGGTGGTCACCTTTAAAAATTGTTCAAAGAATTTAATTCCATGCAGAACTCTGGTTGCCATGGCAACCGAAAGAAAAAACTTTAAATATCTTCTTTTAAAAAACCAAAAGAGCTAGAGCTTAGATATTTGGCATGAAACATCTTCTAGTGAGTGTCTACCAATTTTATTCAAATAAAAGCCCTTGGGTCAAAATTGGCCCCGCCCCAGGGGCTCATTGATTTTCCCTATATGCATATAGTAAAAACTTAAAAAACCTTCTTTTAAAGAACTCAAAGAGCTAGAGCTAAGATAGTTAGCATGAAACATGTTCTAATGGGTGTCTACCAAGTTTGTTCAAATAAAAGCCCTGAGGTCAAAATTGGCCCCGCCCCAGGGGGTCATTGATTTTCCCTATATGCATATAGTAAAAACTTAAAAAACTTCTTTTAAAGAACTCAAAGAGCTTGAGCTAAGATATTTATCATGAAACATGTTCTAATGGGTGTCTACCAAGTTTGTTCAAATAAAAGCCTTGGGGTAAAAATTGGCCCCGCCCCAGGGGGTCATTGATTTTCTTTATATGTGTATAGCAAAAACTTAAAAAATCTTTTTTGAAAAAAACCAAATAGCTAGAGTTTAGATATTAAGCATGAAACATCTTCTATTAAGTGTCTACAACGTTGTTCAAAGTAAAGCCCTGGGGTCAAAACTGGCCCCGCCCCAAGGGTGTCATTGTTTTTAACTATATGTGTACAGTAAAAACTTAAAAAACTTCTTTTAAAGAACTCAAAGAGCTTGAGCTAAGATATTTATCATGAAACATGTTCTAATGGGTGTCTACCAAGTATGTTCAAATAAAAGCCTTGGGGAGGAGATCATTGTTTTTCATTATATGTGTGTAGTAAAAACTTAACATCATGAAACATCTTCTAATAAGTGTCTTCCAAGTTTGTTCAAATAAAAGCCCTGGGTTTAAACTGGCCTTGCTCCGGGGGGCCTATATACAGGTGAGCGACCTCAGGGCCATCATGGCCCTCTTGTTTACATCGTTACCGATGTAAAAATTGTTTACATCGTAATCCACTGTAACAAACCGGATGCAGCTAATATGAACATTACTCCGAGAGATCTTAACATCAAAAGATACTACATTACAAGCTTTCAAAATGTTTACTTTGCATCGATGGTCATAAGAATGCGAAGTTTTAGGATTTTTTTTGGAAAAAAAACAAAAACAAACTGTATTTCATTTAATACATACATCACAAATAATGATATTTACTCAAGGACTTCCACTGAGGTAAAAAAAACAACACAAAAACTTGCAACAAAAAATGAAATTCTTATATAAATCATTTGAAATTGAAAAGAAAAATCTGCAAAGAATGATAAAGAATTAAATTGAATTAAATTGAATATCGACTTGTGATACGATTTGTAAGTCAATTTGAGTGAAAATCGTTGCAAAGCTTTTCATTGTTTTTGGCCTTTTGCACGAATAATCAATTATTCGGAAAGATCTTAAAATTTGCACATGGATAGATACATTGTATTGGCCCAGACCTACATTAATGGTACACGAGTCTAGGTAAGAATGTTTCCAGTCCCGTCATGTCAAAAGCCTCAGTGGAGTCCTTTTAAGAAATAAAGAGATAGAGACATCCTTGTCCATTACCAGTCGTCCTGGTGGATGGAGGTTATTTGCCAACGATGCTAGCACTTGAGTAGTTTTGTTGCAAGAGAAACCCAGAGAAGGTACTGTAACCATGTCCGTATACCTTCTGTCCAGCGTCAATATTGTGGATCGAAACATCGTCCCCTTGATTCAGTTGAAGCACTACTTCTTGGCTTCCAGTTCCGCCATTTTCAACATAAATACTCGAAACTGTCTTCGCATTGTGCATTATCTGGAAATGGTAAGGTACTCTACTTGTATCAGCCATTAGCGTTGTAGCGAAGACGTATGTTCCAGCGACAGGTGCCCTGTAAATTTAAATATATCATTATTCAAATTGTAACGGCATTTCTTTAACTCCATACAATAATAAGTTTATCTTTCTTGACATATGTTATGTATTTTACATACATGAATTGTATATGTGTTTTTAACACATACTGGCTATTTGATAAAATGCTACAAAACAAATAGTTTTTAAAAATTATTATTTCACATATATTGAGTTTTTAAAAACAGGTACATCTACTTGTAATGCTTGAAGCATATCTAATCATAATAGTAAACCCGATTAGATCAATGTGTCGCTGGTTCGATCCACGAGGAGGAGGAATTTGTGACAATTCATCGCAAACATTGAGTCTAAAGATCAGTGTCTCTCACTGCGTATTGAAAAAAGGGGGAATAGTAGTCGGTCACCGACCTTCCGGCGACTTATTGAAAACGAAATGCACAAACAAATCATATGTAGAAAACTTTTTTCAAATAGATAGACGTAAGCTAGGTCATTTTTTGATACCTAAAATCGCCTGCAAATACGTTGTATCCGTTTCCAATATTCGTTGTCACGTGATCAAAAGTAATAACCTGATGAACCCCAGGATTCTCCACGTGGTTGTTTAAATATGCAAAGAATGCAACATTCTGTTCGTTCTCACGCTTTTCAATTGACTGTTTTTCTGGAGAAAAAAATAATAACCGAACGTTACGACTTTGTTTTTGATGCCACATTGCATATTCTATATGTAACCTTAGTTACGCGGACTTCATTTCTTTAGCATCCTTTCTAAAAACAATATTGTTTAATTTCTCTTTTCAGCAAACTTGAAAATGTTGCGGGCTCGGTGTTCATGGACAATACAGTATTGTACAAGCTACTATCCACGAACCTAGCACAGGCTTAAGCAGAATTCATCATTAAACATGAAATGGTAAAATACCATCTGCAGTTGTACTCATACGATTGTTATCAGGAAACTTTCAATATAACACGTTAGTGCCATTCCATGATAAGTAGCGAATGATCCCGAGGAAAAGGAATCATCTGTGTTTTAAACGAGAAAACAATGCGCGGAACTAAATAAAAAGAAACTTTGAAAGGGGATCAGCTCCTGTCTAGGCTATGAAACCGGCATATCAAAAAGTCAAATTTATAATCAAAGGGCTGCAACCTCTGTGGTATTTTCTGATCTTTGCAATCTAAATCATACTGACTATCTGTATGTATTTTCCTGTATAAGTTTATTTTTATATACTATAATTAATCTTACGCAGCGACTGCGCCTATAACAGTTTGAGATTGATACATATGGAATTTTGCATGACTAGCGTTGCATCAAAAATCATTTTAGCCACACTTTATCCTTGCATATTGTGGCTACTTCCTTAAAAAAGACACTTAAAAAAAGTTGCCCTCGACTAGGATTTGAACCTTAGGCCTCTCACACCCTAAACGAGCGCGCTACCTCTGCACCACGGTGAAGTAATACATATGTAGCTTGAATAAAAAACAAGTACATTGTAATTCTAAATTGAGAATTTCCATTTCGTGTTTGTTATCCTTACTAATTTCGAGGTATTTTGTTCACGATAAACCTGTTGTTTAACACTGATGAAAATAATTTAGCGAAAATCTTCTCGCCATGTATATATTCTACTACTCGACAGTCAGATTTATTTGTGTACTACGCTCTGGAATATTCGGTAATCCGGTAATCGACATAGCTAAAAATAGCATTTTCATTGATTAAGATTTACGGAAATAGCCGAACATATTTCATTGGGTAAAAAAGATATTCATCCGCGAAATTTGTGATTGTAACCTCATTTTTCTATTGACTACTCTTAACTTTTAATGCACTGTAATTCGTTAAATGCCTACATTAACTAGAAATGTGTCCATAGGACACGGATGCCCCCACACGCCACTGTTCTGTCAATCTTATGACTCTAGGTCAAATATTTTTTGGACTACATGTGCCACAAGTTGAAAACTAAAAATCAACAAAGGGCCATAATTCTGTTAAATTTGGTCGCAGCAAAAATTCCTTCCTTTACTACCATCTACACATTAAGGTTGTTCATCCCTGTAAGTTTAAGCAAAATCTGCCATCCTGTTTAAGAGGAGTTCAGAGCAACAGATAAGCTTTTAAAGTGAATTGGGTATTACTCCATCATTTCCTTTGGAATTGGATATTGGCTCCATTTAATTGGGTATTCCAAAACTCGATACCCTATGATTTCAAGATTAATTGGGTATTCAATTATGAAGATATGAATTTTATAGTTTCAGTATCAATAAAATTTAAACTGTTTTAAAAAGAAAATAGGATTAACAATTTACCAGAACTTTTCACAATTGTTTTATTTTTTATATAAAATGCTCATGTTATATTTCATAATATTTTTAACAAGTTCGTTTTCCGACTGATTTTTTTATTAAATGTATTTACGACTGTTTTGTTTCAAATCATTTTCCCTTTTGTACGACACCATATTGCTTTCAAAGCGTCTATTGATACAGCTGGGACCTACTTATTGACGGTCTCCGCAAAATCAACGGTCTCTGCACAGCCTGTAAAGACCGTCGACCTGAGTAGACAAATCGACGGACTCATGCTTTATTGATATGGCTTAGTCGGTCTTTGGAGACCGGGGACCGTCGAAGACCGGAGACCGTTGATTAGTTAGCATTGATTCGGGAATATTCGGATAGCATGCATATCGATATAATTTGTCCAAAACTACGAGCGTACGACAGTTTAATTTTGCGGTGATGAAAATGACAATACGCACGGGTTTTTTAGACAATTGCGTATTTTATTTTTTTTAATGGGTTTTGATACGCATTCTTAAAAAATCAATTGCGTATTTTATAAAATTAATTGCGTAAATACGCAAATACGCACCTTATCTGTTGCTCTGGGAGTTGCGTTCACAAAATTTCTACATAGTATATAATGAAAAAATCAACAAAGGGCCATAATTCTGTTAAATTTGGTTGCAGCAAAAATTCCTTCCTTTACTGCCATCTACACATTAAGGTTGTTCATCCCTGGAAGTTTAAGCAAAATCTGTCATCCGGTTTAAGAGGAGTTGCATTCACAAAATTTCTACATAGTATATAGTGAAAAAATCAACAAAGGGCCATAATTCTGTAAAATTTGGTCGCAGCGAAAATTCCTTCCTTTACTACCATCTACACCTTAAGGTTGTTCATCCCTGTAAGTTTAAGCAAAATCTGCCATCCGGTTTAAGAGGAGTTGCGTTCACAAAATTTCTACATAGTATATAGTGAAAAAATCAACAAAGGGCCATAATTCTGTTAAATTTGGTCGCAGCAAAAATTCCTTCCTTTACTACCATCTACACATTAAGGGTGTTCATCCCTGTAAGTTTAAGCAAAATCTGCCATCCGGTTTAAGAGGAGTTGCGTTCACAAAATTTCTACATAGTATCTAGTGAAAAAATCAACAAAGGGCCATAATTCTGTTAAATTTAGTCACAGCGAAAATTCCTTCCTTTACTACCATCTACACATTAAGGTTGTTCATCCCTGTAAGTTTAAGCAAAATCTGCCATCCGGTTTAAGAGGAGTTGCGTTCACAAGATTTCGGGACGTACGGACGGACTGACGGACGGACGGACGGACAAGTGCAACGCTATATGCTCCCACATTGTGGGGGCATAAAAATTATTCTTTCCTTTACATTGCTGGTTTTTAAGCAGTTCTGAGTGAGAACTACTTTGCGTTGTTAGGTCTGTTAGGAAATTTTGTGTTAGACCGTGGATGTTAGCTTTGTATTTACTGATCTTGCGATCAGAAAATACAAAAACCAGCAACAAGGGTGGTTATAAATGTACAGTATTCAACTAAGGAATACATAACTCACCAAACTAGAAAAGAAAGAACTAAAAGTACTACACACACAACAAAAAATCAAAGGGCTGAACCAAGAATATGTGCCGTCTTATCATTGTTTGCACTGTTCGCTTTTCAGTCGGTACATAATTATATTGCAACTTTTTTCTAAAAAGAAAGAAATGTATTTTTTACAAATTTTAATATTTGGGCCCAAATTTCTTTTAGCGTGTTAATGGGAAAAAAAAATAAATTTTCGTTTTAAATCGATAGTCCCAAATAATAAATGTTTAAAAAATTTTATACCCTGATTTAATTTTGGAAAAATTTCCCAAAAGAAGAAAAGAAGAAAAAGAAAACCCCAAAGTTTTGAGTAAACTAAAGAAAAAGTCTTAATTTCTAACTCCTTTGGGGAAAGTCCTGTTCCCCAGATCTTTCTTCATCTTCAATTTTCCCCCTTTCCCCCAAAGCTTTAAAATCGTGATGAATGTTTTAATAACTTGGTTGGCCCCTTTTTCTGTTAAAACCCTTTTTTTTCGTTTTTTTTTAAAAAAATTTTTTTTCCCCGATTGTTTTTTTCCTTGACTTACATATTGGGACACGAGCAGCAGTTTTTTTATTTTACATCATCCTGTTCCTCAATTGTTTCTATCAAACTAGAAATCTGACTTTGTTGATCTGTGACCAAGGTCTCTAAAGCTTGGACGCGTTGTTTAAGCTCCATATTTTCATGTTCTCGCGTTCTATCCCGAAATTCGAGAAATTCCATCCGTTTGACAAGATTCTCATAGAAAGTATCTCTTTCATCAATACTACTGTCCTTGTTTTCAGCGTTCACATATGTTAAAATTATAAGCAGCTCTAGGACTAGGCCCATGAAACGCGCATTTTTAACTCCATTATTTATTCTATATTTATCATTATTTCTAAAGGCACAACAGCACAAATAATTGACAGATAACAAAATCAAAATCGTGAGTTAGATTAGATAGATAAGATGCAGCCGTTTTTCTCATTTCACAAATTGGGACACTTTTTGTAAAGAGTGTACAATGTACATACATAGATGCCACTAAAGACAAAATATGAACACAACTGTACAAGGGTCTTTCCTTTATTAAAGGACACTTATTTGTTTTAAAAGGCTTTGTATCTAAAATTATTAGATATAAAGACATACATGTAGCAATACTTCCAAACTTATAAATTTCCCCATAAAGTCGCTGTTGACAACATTACTTAAAAATAAAAAATGCATGCAATTTTATTAATTTTTAAACAGTCTTGTTTACCATGCTGTTACAGGTTCTGTACGATGTAATTAAGGATGTACCACACTAAAGTGAAATTTTATATACATGTATGTATATCACTATTCTTCTAAAATTTCAAACATCCAAGAATATGTTCAATATGTTTATTATTGCAAATGTTTATGCGCATTATATGTAATCATTAAAATAAATGCATTCATTTCGTATTGAAAGATTTGGCTTAGACTTTATAGAAAATAAATTTCTAATTACATCCCTTTATTTGCCGGTAATATCTTCACAAATAATGCTTTTTGAAACTTACAATATTGATAAATCTTCATTTGAGCATCAGATTTATGATATACAACCATAAAAAAAATTGAGTTACAGTATCTTTACGTGGTCTTTAAGTGGTGAAATTGAACGGAGTAATTTATTATTTTTACATCTAAAGCCATTTTTAGGAGGAAGAGGAAAGACCTTTAAAATGTTTGAATTGTATCATAGTTTTCGGACCTTACTGTTGAAAACGTGTCAAAGTTAAATCGTTCGCACATATATG